TTTACTATATATATATACATATATTCTTGATCAGCACAGCTCTTGTCGTTGTTTTTTGGCTCATGATTTTAAGAATTTTGTTATATTTTTTGTAATGTAGTAGAGTTCCGATTTTGAAATTAGATGCCCGAAATTGAATGCCTAGGTGATCATAAACTTTGACTTCCAAAGGTTTAGTTTTATACAAATTTAGATAGATAGATTCGATTTTTTTTTTAGGGAAAACCTTTAAAAAAGACATTTTTATATACTTTTACCTAGAAAGTTCATTTTAAAAAGAGTCTTTTGCAAACCCAAGTCTACACAGTAAAATAAAGGTATTAAAGTTTGATTAAGTAACATAAAATTAATACTACATACCTTTTATATTTGTGAAATTTCTATAACGTCAAAATGTAGTTCATTAACAATTGAGATTGGTAAACAATAATACATTACGTACAGCTGCTGAATAAATGTAGGTCAAGGGGTCAAGCATCTGAATAATCTCGATCCACAGATTCTCAATTTTTTAATGCAATTGCAGGGCGCCTTATCTCCAAGAGACGCCAGTCTGAGTAGAGACCTTAGTTACGTAGTTACGGGACTCTTATCTCCGCCATACTTGTTGATTGTTAAGTATTATTTTAGTTGCTAAATTTAAGTTCGAATTTGGTGGTATACCCAACAGTCAACGATAAGGTTTATTTTAATTGTTTTATAAATTAATGGACCCTTAAAAAACTCTCCGGTTGTGGTCCCAATTCAAAGATTAATTTTGCCCTTGGGTACAATTTGAATCAATGTCAGGAAGTCCGCAACAGCTGAGCACACACAAACTGGCAGAGCTTGGAAAGATCCCCTGCTAAAACGTAGTTCCATGTTTCACGACCCCAAAAGTATTTCTTTTTTTTTTTTGCGGTCTGGGGATTCAGATTGTTTGCACTGAGATAGATGTCCGCAGTCTTATCGCCCCAGTGTTTCTCCATAATTACTTCAACTATTGCGATGGAAAAAGGGCCATTAGTATCTCTCCGTGTCTTGTGTTTCTGGGAAGGAAATCTTGAACAGAGAATAAATGTTGTTATCAGGGAATATATTACAACTGCGAACTACATCTCTCTCGCTATTCTTATCAGCACAGAAATAATTTTTCCCTAATTAGTTACTAATGATTGAAGTCTTTCTATGCCTTGAAAAAGGTGACTTCACACTCCACGTGAAAGTATCTTTGTATCTTTTTTATCTACTAACACATAAAAAGACAAAAACAAAAAAAAAAAAAAGCAGAAAAACAGCAAAACAGAAGAGCTGAAAAACATAAAAACAAAGCAAACAAAACGAAAAACAAGCGAAGAAACCGCGCTCGAAAACTTGTTTTTGTGAAATTAACTTCCTGTATGCGAATCGCCTGAGATCGTGCTTATGTGTGTATACGTGTGTCTTTATCGATGTATCTTGGTTGCATACAGAAATGCAGTTTCGGGATCCTATATATGGCCAGGCAATTGTATTCACTTTCCATTTACCTTTGATTGTTCTCCCAAAAAAACCCATTAATATTCTAAAAATGAACTCGAAATGGAAACAATTAGGCGGCAAGTGCGAAAAAGAGCGAGGGAAAGACTGAGTCTGACTCAGGAGAATGACACATCCGACAGAGCCAAAAAAAAAATCTTGCGGCTCTCGAACAAGTTTCCGTTTTTGGCTATGACAGGCTTTCGGGCCAAATCGCGGCCCCATTGACCTTTACCATTTTGGCCAAGAATCGCACGGAGTAAATCTCGTTTCCAGTCGCCCGGCACTTGCTCGCTTTGCACACTTGCTCCTCTCAATTGTCGCCGGACCTGCTCATTGTCTGACTTAATTACATCAGCCATCTCTTCCCGGGTTCAACGTTCTCTCGCAGACCCAGAGCTTCACAAGTAAAGAAGAGACGGAGAGAACTTGGGAACCCGTGCGTGATCCGCATCTTCATGGACGCCGAGTTGTCGGCGGAATAACCCACAAAGGGCGTGACCAAGGAACTAGCGCCAAAAGATCAAGATCAAAGCACAATCTGTACTATTAAAAAAAAAAAAACGAAATCCAACAAACGCGCTTGGAATTAAAATTAACTTGTCGTATTTGCAAATGGAAATTCACTTAATGCCGAATTTCAATGGGTTTTTCATGAGTCCAGGAATAGCCATAAAAGTTGGCAGCCAGTTATTGCTCATAAATGACCAAGATTAAAATCAAATCTTTGTAGTCATTGGGTTTTACTTAGAAATAGCTGAATATTATTTTTAATAGTTTCTTGTTGAAAATGAGTTCTAATTATAAATAATAAAACACATTTAAAAAAATCTTCAAAATTTTAAAATCATTTAGAAGTGTGTTTTTTCTGTGGTCCTGAAAATATATTTTCTTAATTAATTTAACTAAAAATACTTGATTACTTTTCCCTCAATTCAAATTGATTTAAAGTTTCACCGCATCCACTTCCCATTTCCCTTTGAGCGACGCTGTAATCCCTTTTATCCCTTTGGCCAACTTTAATGAACCTTATGCAACCAAAATCCACCTGTCACTAAAGTGCTGGGCTGGCTGAAATTATATTTCATATTCGAAAAATGCGAATTCAACTCAATTTAATGGTTTTCTGTGACCGCTTTCACTCCAGTCAGTCACTCCTGCCTGCCACAGATAAAATATTTCATAAATGACGTCAATTTTTGGGACCAAACTCAATTTATGTAATACTTACTCTTATTTTTTTGTACCCTGAGAGGGTCAATTTGCGTTGCCATGTCGCCCTTTAATTAACTGACATTGTGAAACTCATCACGAGAGAGCTGAGCAAAATAACTCGGTTATGTGTTTGCTGTTTATAATTTCCCGTGAGAGATCTGATTAATGAAAACACTTCCGATTGTGCTCCAATTAGGGATGTGTAATTCGGCAATTGTATCATTAAAGCTTGTTCGCTCCGCCGATCTCCAGGGTAAACAACATTTCCTGTTGAGCGACTACCTCAACTGGAGAACACACAGGGTACAATTTCTGTTTGGCAATTGGCCAAGGAATCGGGAAAAAAAGTTGGCTCTTCCATCATACTTTTATCCAGGGACAGCTGCAACAGCAGCATCTGTGTGACACCAAAACCCGTGAACGAGAGCAAAAAAAAAAAGAGCATAAAACTCAAAAGGAAACAAAAGTTGAAAATGTGGAACATGGAAGCAATAAGCTGGGCACCTTTTGTGGGTCAGCGAGCGGGAAATTTCAATGGATATGTAGGATAGCGGGTAATTGATTAACCGGTGGCTAAAGTGCTGCAGCCAGAAGTGCACCACCGCCTACGACAACTAATGGAGGCCCCTAAATCACACTTAAGCGGTCATCCATCCAACCATAAGGGTAAGCTCCCAAGTAAATCCTCAATTAGTTGCCTTTTGCATGGGCCTCCAGCTGGGAGAGGCTAGGATAGGCAGTATAGAGGAGCACCCTCACAATCAGCTAGCATTAGCTTTTTGCTGATTTTCATATTTCTTTTGAGGCTCGCAGGCAATCGATAAAGTTTTCCCTACTTCCCTCTTTCTCTTTCTCTTGCTGTTTTTGCTTGGTAATCGTAGAGTATGGAGGGTATATATGAAGTAGAGGTGGATAGCGATATATTAATGTATATATCAACTTTTATCAGGTACTTTCAGATAAGAATTTATTTTCTACAATCGCTAGTTTATAGTGGTAAGGGAGAGCTTCCTGTAAATAACAAAAGGATATATATTTGAAATGAAGATTTCCTAAAAACAAAGGGATATCTCTTCTGAATAAATCAGTTAAATATAAGAAAATACAAAGCTATGGCAAATCATCGTCTCAAGACATTTAGTACCGGGTATCTCCTAGTCGTGGCCTTCGTTTACAGCTTTCTCCCTTCTTTGCACAGTTTGCCTTCGCATTCCCTATGGGGGATGCGTGCGAGGAGGCGTGTTCAAGTGGCGTCGCTTCCATTGTATAGTTGGTCTTGTTGTTCGTGGTTGTGGCTACTGGTCTTTGGCAGCGTCGCATATTAATGAAAGGAAAATCGGCGTCGAAGTGAGCAACTGTTAGCTCTCACCCCGATGGTTATGGCAATGGCGATGACGATGACGTTGTTGATGCCATTGGGGATCTCTTTTTTGTATCTTCAAGATGGTATATAGCAGTTTCATTAGCCCTTCCTCCGAACGGATAAGCAATGTGTGGTCTTGTCACGCATTTATCTCCGAAAGGGATGAGGCAATAAATTGGAAAACGCATAGGAAAGTGCTGTATATTCATACGCCGTGGCTCGAAGATATTACATTTTTATTTATTATTTATTATATATTATTTTTATATTAAAACAAAAAAAAAGTATTATGAAATAAAGAAATAGACTTTGCTTTAAATATGAGAATACCCCCGGGAAAACCTTAGCTTATTATAAGACGCCAAAGTATACTATATATACATGCCTGTCTTCTTGGTTTTGTGTCAGTTTTCTTGAGCACTGAACTGTCAGGATTGTGTCACGATTGCATCTCAAATAAGGACATCCTCCACTAAGCCACCAGCATCATCAGCGTCCTCATCACACGGCCAAGTGCCCGAGTGTAGGGAGAGAGAGCGCAGCAAGCTTTTAATAGAAGACGGCGTCGGCGAGCATCCCTCTCATCCTGCGGATGTCTGGGGCCAGCCAAAGGGGAGGGATATCTCGAGCCAAAAGGAGACCAGGAGGAACTAGGTGGGTGACAGGGTCACCGCCTTCCGTAATTATCTTTTCCCCCATTTTTTCCAGCAACTCGCTAACATGCGGCTGCAGCGACTTGTCTGCGTTTGAGCTCAATTAGTGTGGCAAGCGTGGTTTTCAGGAAGTAATTGTCGGCGTCATCAACTCTGGGGATTTGGTGTGTGTGTGTGTGTGTGGGGGATGTCCCTAATGACAGTTCCGTGGAACAGTGAAGGAAACACCCATCCGTAACTCACGATTTTCTCCCCGCTTCTTGTTTTTCCAGGATATGCCTCAAAGCTGATCGATTGACCGAGTAAATGCTACAGGATGTCGGCCAAGCACATCGAGCAGTATACGAATCCCTCCTTCGAGCAGGAGTCCGACCCTCCGCCTCCGTCTGTGGTGGGAGCAGGCACCGCCAGCAGCAGCAGCAATAGCAACAATGCAAACAATGCCATCGACACCGGCACGACACATCGCAAAGGTCACAGGTGAGCAAATCGCTGCACTTTGCTAGTTTCTTTAGATGCCCTTGCGAGGGAGGAGCAGGTGCCATTGATATTCGTCATTGGGCATCTTAAATTTTGAGGGATTTTTGGGATGAATACATTTGATTTATTTTGTAAAAAAATATATAAGAACTATATAAGTATATCATTTAATGTTGTAGAGAGTTATCTTAAGTTACAGTATTCTTTGTGATAGGAAGGAGCTAAATAATCTTTTGTTTATATAGTATAACCTAAAGAGCTTCAAAATTTTGTAAATTTTCATAGATCCAAATAAATTTTCATGGGATATTCCTTTAATCAAACCTTAATATATAATAAAAATAACTAACTAAAAGAGTATAAAAACCTCGGCTTTCACCAAGTTTACTTCTTCTCTTGATTATTATTTTGTTGAGGACATTAGCCCACCTCTCTATCCACAGGAAGGGGAATAACTATTTACATAAATTGACACTTGCCTTGGGTAAATAAACAGAAATATTATTGCCCATACTCTCCCACCATATCAATAATTAGCTTGTGACTTGGGGCACGTTTAGTGGCACGTGGGTGAGCTTAGGGCTGAGGGGGAGTACGGACCTAGGAGCTGAGCCTGCCTGGGGCGGTGGTGGTGGTGCCTCCATAATTCATAAGACTGCAGCGCCTTCGCTAAACCGAAAGCCATCGCCGGATCGATAACAGTCGATTACGATGAGTCGGTCAAGTTTGAAATATTCAGAGGGACGCAGGGCACAGGGTGGTTCAGGATGAGGAAAAGGAAAGCGTGACAAACAAGCCCCGGGGCGAGCACGTGAGCTTGAAGGCGCGACTAGCGACTAGCGAGTAGCGACTCCGCGATTCGCCCAAGCTATCCGCAGTCATCCGCGTGCCCTGCCAGCCGAAGGAACTCCGGAAAAGCCGCCGCCGACGAGCAGAGAACGGGAACCATTTGTGGTTGCAGCTGCCAGTAAGCCAACGTCGAGGAGGAGCAACTGGGAGGTGGCACTGTGTTGGCCAACAGCCCAGAGTGCTTGACATTGAACCAGGGAGAGGGGGTCAGTGCCGGGGTGAGTTGTCCTCGCCCTCGGGCGTCCTTGGACCGTCCATCGCCAAGTTCTAGGCCGCCTTTAGAAAGTCTGACAAAAAAGGAGGCAACCAATAATGCAGCAAGGACGAATATGTGAATGCTCTAGCAAAAAGTCAGTTAAAAATGGTAGCTAGTAGTATAGGAACAGCCTTTAGTTAACTAGAAGTCGATTGGTTTATTGGCGAAACATATATTCCAAGAATACGAAAAAAAGGCTGGTGGTTTTTATAAAAAATGTAAAATGTATTCGGGATATTATAATTAATTAATAAAGTAAATTAAAAATAAATAACTTTTCAAAATAGAAAAAAAGTCAGTATACCAAAAGTTTGGATGTCAATAATGTTTTTGGATAATCCTTGTGACGCAAAATTTAACGGTTTTCAATTTATTTAGACTTTGGGGTTATTGGCTAAAATCCCAGTAAAACATGCAAAAAGAAATCAGAGCCAATTGTCAAATCCTTCTCGTTGATCCTCTGACCTCGGAACACATCTCACTTGCAGGCGGCAGGAATCGATGTACCAGATGACCGGCCTCTACTCGGAGACGAATAGCGGCGACGATAGCAGCGTAGATGCGGCCCTCGATCAGGACCATCAAGCTCACCTCGCCGGCGATCGTGATGGGACGGGAACGGGAACGGGAGGAGCCACACAAGTGGGTATGGACAGTGTGACTGTCAAATGCCACAGCCGCCAGGCATCGGCGGGTAAATGCCCGGTGGAACAGGATGAGGACTACGACGAGGAGCAGTTCCGTTCCGGTGACTGCGGTATCCTAAACTGCCGGCCATATGGCATCCAGAGATTCGCCCGCATCAAAATCTTTGTGCTGCTGCTATCGCTGCTGGTGATGATGCAGCAGGCCCTCAGCTCGGGCTACATCAACTCGGTGATCACCACCATCGAAAAGCGGTTTGAGATCCCCTCCAGCTACTCGGGTTTGATAGCCTCCAGCTATGAGATCGGCAATGTAATCACGGTGATCTTCGTCAGCTATCTGGGTAGCAGGCGACACATTCCCGTGTGGATAGGCATTGGGGCGGTGATCATGGGCATTGGATCGCTGGTGTTCATGGTGCCACATTTTACGGGAGAGCCCAACCCGGGCATTGCAATCATGAACAAGACCAGCGACAATATCTGCAGGAGCGCTTTGGTCCGGGATCAGGACATGGACCTGGGCCGCCTGTCTAGCGGCCTCTCCCATCAGCCTCTGGCGCCGCACACCTTGCGGGAGGATAACTGTCTGGAGGGCAAGGCCTCCACCACAGGACCAGTGCTGCTCTTTGTGCTCGCCCAGCTGCTTCTCGGCTGCGGCGGCAGCCCGCTCTTCACTCTGGGCACCACCTACGTGGACGACCACGTGCGAACCGAGAGTTCTTCAATGTACATTGGTTGCATGTACAGCATGGGCGCCTTTGGTCCGGTGGTTGGGTTCCTGCTGGGTGCTTATTTGCTATCCTTTCACATGGACTCGCTGGGCTCCACCACAATATCCATTAGTGAGTATGAGATCCCCTTTTAAGATCACAAACTAATCCTGAAGAGAAACCCGCTTTAACACCAAATCCCCTTTCTTGCAGCTCCCGGCGACCGCCGTTGGGTGGGCATGTGGTGGGGTGGTTTCCTGCTGTGCGGCGTGATCCTTCTAGTGGTGGCCGTGCCCTTCTTCTCCTTCCCCAAGGTGCTCGCCCGCGAGAAGAAAAAGATCCGTAAGAGCAGCGTGGTCCAGCCTGTGCTGCCCAATAACTCGGGTGCCGTGGCAGCCACCGATGAAATGGGCAAGGTAAAGAAGCTGGAGATCGTGGCCGTGACTAGCAAGGAGGATCAATCGCAGCCGCCGCCCAAGGTTGACACTGGCTACGGCAAGGACATCAAGGACATACCGCAGTCGATGCTGCGCCTGGTGAAGAATCCCGTGTACATTGTGACCTGTTTGGGTGCTTGCATGGAGCTGATGATTGTCTCTGGCTTCGTGGTCTTCCTGCCCAAATACCTGGAGACGCAGTTCAGCCTGGGCAAGAGTCAGGCGAATATCTTTACCGGCTCGATAGCTGTGCCTGGAGCCTGCATTGGCATCTTCCTGGGTGGCTGCATTTTGAAGCGATTCCAATTGAAGCCCAAGGGCGCCGTCCAGTTTGTGCTAATTACCAACGTCATCTGTCTGGCCTGCTATGCCATGTTGTTCTTTCTGGGCTGTGACAACCTCAAGATGGCCGGCACAACGATTCCCTATTACACCAGCAACAAGCAGGGATCCACGATCGAGCAGCCCTTCCAGGTGAACCTGACGGCCGCCTGTAACTTTGGCTGCGAGTGCTTGCAAAGCGAGGTGGAGCCGGTGTGCGGCAACAATGGGCTGACCTACTTCAGTCCCTGCCATGCCGGATGCACGGCTTTCTCCTCCAGCTCCAACTACACCAACTGTGCATGTGAGTTAAGGATCCCAGAGATCCTTATTATAATAAATCGAATTTTATAAATTTAAAAAAATTCCCTTTTAGGTGTTCACGCCAACATCTCGAGCAGCATTTATCGGGGCGCTGGCGGTAGCCAGGCCCAGGCTCTCAGTGCCAATGAGGACTTTGCCGAGGTGACGGTGGTGCCGGTGGCCACTGCTGGCCCTTGTGCCACACCCTGCCGCACCATTTATCCCTTCCTCATACTCCTCTTCTTCATGACCTTTGTGGTGGCCTCCACGCAGATGCCGCTGCTCATGATCGTGTTGCGTTCGGTGTCCGAGGAGGAGCGCTCCTTTGCCCTGGGCATGCAGTTTGTTATATTTCGTCTGTTTGGTTATATACCCGCCCCCATACTCTTTGGTAATCTCATTGACTCCACCTGCCTGCTGTGGAAGTCGGCTTGTGGCGAGAAAGGAGGCCGTTGTCTTATATACGATATTGAAAAGTTTCGATACAAGTAAGTGGAAAGGATTATTCTTATCAAAGGATTCTCTTAATATTTTATGTATTATTTTTCAGATATGTGGGTCTCTGTGCATCTGTAAAGCTGGTGGCCTTGTGCATCTTCATTGTGGACTGGTGGTTAGTGCGCAGGCGCAAACAGCTCGAGAAAATGAAGCCACTGAATGCCAGCGATCCTATAATTGGTTCTATTATAAGTCTGGACAAATGTGAGTACATACAGAAGGGAAATCTAACAAAAGTAACTTGCAAGAGAACTAAACCATATGTTTTGAATAATTATTAGCATATGTTTTGATTTACTTTCTAAAAAAACTTCAGTAAACAGTTTTCTTTACTTGCATGCAAATTTAAACCAGTTTTAAATAATTCATTAATTTTGAAATACGAGAATCATAACACATGTACAAACTTTAAAAACAATATCTTTGGTTACCTTTTTAGTATTTGAAGAGAAGCTTTCTGGCGCCGAGCCAGCAACTGGGTTTGTGGGAGGCGGCGGAGAGCTGATCATACCCACAGACATACTGCGTCACTCCCGCAACGATTCACGCACCATGCAGATGGATTACTGGTGAGCTTACTCCATATATAAAACCTCCAAAACCCCTTCTAACCATATCGTATCCTCCCCTGCAGTTACGACAAGTGCGGCCATGTGGTGACGCCGGCCAACACCTGCAACCTGCAGCCGCAGACCAAGTCCAAAAAGCACTTCCGCAGCGCCTCTTGCGATGTAAAGATGATCAAGAGCTTTGCCCGCGATCACAACTCGTCTAGCGGCCCGGCGGATGCTGCTGGTCAGGAGGCCAGCGGTAGCGCTAGCAATAGTAAATACAAGAATCTCAAAAAGTTCCAGGCGCACACGCGCAACCATTCGACGGATCTGCACGACAACAGCCAGCCCATTCGATACATTCAGAATCAGCTGCGGCCGCAGGACTGTGCCGAGGAGGAGGACGACGACGAGCTGACCACCGGCTGTGGGCACTTTGTCAAGAAGCATTCCCGCAATCATAGCTACGATCAGATCTACATGCCCAACAACATACGCTTCGATGCAGACTTCCTGCGCCACCCACATCCCCATCACAATCCCAAGAAGAATGTGAATGTGCTGAAGAATGTGGTGACGGAGGCGGGCAAGCTGAAGAACTCCAATGAAATGGAAGCCGGCGGAGGGGGATCATCATCCCGCGGTCATTCGCGCAATAACTCCAAGGATTTAAACACCAAAATTCCTAGTGTTACTCCTGTGAACCTTGTGGCTGGACAGGCAGCATTAGCAACGGATGCTACAGGTCTGAGTGTGCTGCGGCATCGTCGCACCAACTCCAAGGATCTTAACAACCAAATGCTGCCGGAGGATGCTCCGGCCAGCTCAACAGTGGCCGGTCATCCGCATTCAACGCAGCAGCACACGCGAAACACGTCGCACCACAAGATCCAGATCGATGACGATCGGAACGAGCTCATTACCGACAACGACGACGAGGAAGAGGAGGAGCGCTCAGCCAGGGCTTAGTGTAAATGATCTTTAAACTAGGATAGGCAGCGCCATTCCTCTTTCCTGGTGTCCTCTCAGCTGCTCATTGTACTTACCTACGACCGAGTGTTCAAAATCTACTTTCCTGAATATATAAACCTTTTTGGATGCAAACCGAATTCGAAACCGAAGCCAGTCCGACACGAACACGAATTCCCGCTGCTTGCAGATCGTATTTAGGCGGTAGTAGTAAGGCCTCTTAGTGAGCAACTAGCAGCATATACTTTAGGCTAGCCGTAGATTGTTGTGATAGGAATATTTTGTACTGTATTTTTAGGTGGAGTGAAAGGTTCTCGAACTGATCGGATTTGTTTCGCTTTTCACTTTGTGCAATCTCGGTTTCAGAACCGCGGTGAAAGACAGAATCAAGAGGAAGAGAATTCCAAGAGAGGTGAATAGCAAATTGCAATGTTTTAATAATAAACCGAACATGTAAACAATTGTCAATGGAAATTGTGCTGTGAAACAACGATGTGTGAGACGAGAGAGAGAAATTAACGAAAAGAAGTGGCCAGAAAGAGGTCAGGAAGGAAGGTTAAGAAACACGCTGAATGTAACTCTTATGCAATACAATTATTTACAGAATCTTTGTAAACAACCAACAGAAGAGAAGGGTTCGAATGATGACTAGTTTTAATATATCCTCAATTCCCTGTTTTAACCGTAGAAGAGAAGAGAGCGAGTGTAGCCTGTATTTTAAAACCGAAAGATGTACTTTAAATGCGATAATGCCTTACAAAATATCAATTAAATATACACACAGTAAGGGGAGAGCTCCACCGAGAGGCTCTTCCAACCAGTTCAATTCCTGTGCAACGCCCCCAGAGTAGCCCTAAGAGATGCAATCTAGGTTAATTTAGGAGTCACTAAGTCTATGTTTACACACACACACAGCCAGCCACAAGCAGTAGGAGAAGGGTAGAGCTAGCCCCTGCCCGAGCACTAAATAAATCCATTTAAAAAAAATTTATATAAATATAAATATATATGTATATGTATGTATATATATATATATATATGTATACAATTGTACGTTGATAAGTGTACCTACGAGTAGCTAAGGATTCGTAAAATAACGAAGAGCGATTTTAATACAGACTGCACCACTAAGGCAACCCGGGTTTTAGGTGCAACAAATCGTATATATTTAACTAACTATATATATAGATATGTATATGTATGCAAGGAAGTATGTTTAAGGAAAACATATTTTTACTTAGAGAAAATATTGCAACTAAACTAAATAAGGAAAAAATGTATGAAATGAAAACAATGAGACTCCTGAAAAATAGAAAAACAAAATAAACAATATATTGTAATAGACAAAAAAGTCCAGATTTTTATTTTAACAATGGCCTAAAAGGGTTTTTAAAGGTTTTTCATGAACTCAAGATTTGTTTTTAGATTTAAATTTAGCCTAACTAGCGCCGCTGTTGAGTGCTTGTGTTGGATTTAGGAACTAGTGTGCTTGCCAGTGTTACCTTTTCACGTTTTTCTTAGCCAAGACAAGAACCAAAAACCGATTATCGTAAAATAGATCGTAATTATTATTAAATTGCTTAAAATATTATCCATTTCTTATATTTTTACCTAAAATCATTAACTGTATAATAAATTATAAATATTCTTTGTAATTCTTAAATTTTCATCAACTTTGGCAACTCTAAGGTGCGACAGACATGCAACCTGAAATGTTGATAGCTTATCTTTAGTGTTTTGTCAGCCACAAAGGTTTCCCTTCGGTCGCTGAGTAATATTTTTTAACAGAAACTCATTGCAAACTAAAAAACAAATGGAAAAGCGGGCCACTTCCACGATGCAGGTGCTCTATGCAGAGCTGGCCGCCGGTGCGTATACTTAATTAAGTTGCGTATACGCAATGTAACTTAGCTGCTTCAAAAACACAGCAAAGGCGCGTAGTGCCCAGCTGGAGGAGGAGAATATTCTGCTGCGCCATCGCCTCAACCGAGCCTCGGCCAGCCACAGCACCAATGCCGCCATCAATGTGGAGGCCAAGATTTTAGCCTTCCAGTTGGAGGAGGAACGTGATCGCGTGGTGGAAACTCTGCAGCAGCACAAGAAGAAGTACAACAAGCTGCACGATGCCTACCTGGAGAAGGTGAAGCGGTGTCGGGCTTTGGAGGAGATGTTCAAGCGTCAGAAGACCTTGACGGGGTTGGTTATGAAGTCGGCTCTGGATCAGCGCAATGCAGGTAAGTCACTGGGAGGAAAGAAGTCTATGTAAATACTCATGCTGAGTTCTTGCTCTCCCTCCAGAGCAACGCTTAATGTTAGAGAAGCGGCAGTCAGCCCAAAATAATATCAGTGAACTGGAGGATCTAAAGGTCAAGGTGGAGAAGTTGCAAAGAGCCCTGGATGAGTCATATGATATTATAGATGAAATGGATTTTGAACTGGAGAGCGTAAGTTTATTTAGAGGATTTTTAAATATATATTTTTGGAGTATAAATAATTTATTTTTAAAGGTGGAACTTTTGGAGATGCAAAACCAAAGTCTGCGCGATGAATTGGCTGCCTTAAAGGTAAGTTCTGCGGAAGGAGCCACCAGCATGGCAGCTTCAGCTCCCAAGGACGATGACCCACCACCAAAGTACGAAGAAGACTATCCCAAAGCTCGCTATGCAAGACAAATCTCCTCCAGCAGTGAGTCAGGACCCAAAGATGACGATGCCGATGCAGAGACCATGGAAAGAGCTGCCCTCACACACAGTGTAGGTTTAAAACTTTTAAACTATAAGTTAAGTTCTCTAATATTTCCTGGTTTACAGCTCATTCAAACGGTTGAGTCGGAGAGTAATGCCCTGAGACGAGAGCTGCTTAGATCCCGCTGCCAGCGAACTATACGAGGCAAGTTGGAAAAGGAGAACGAGCCTGCTGATTAGGATAAACAAAAGGAGTCCCGAAACAACCCCCATCACATAGACAACCCATAGATGTACTTTTGGCTGATGAAACCCAACGGCCGACTTACGCACAACAACCCACTACCAAAGTCCAACTCAAACACCCTGCTGTCTGTCTGGTCCAAGTCTTAGTCTACGACTTAGTCGCTTGGTCTGAACTAACCCAGTTTCGGAGCCAGCTACGCCTAACAAGTGCACATACCAGAGATTGCTTTTAAGGTTCGACAAACACGCTCGCCGGCTGCGTTAAATCAAAACTTCTCAGATAGAGTAACCTGATTTCTCGGCGGTTGCAAAGGAAACTCGTCTGTTTAATGGCTAACGATTAATTAAAATATTTGTTAATGGCATCGACCGGCTTGGTGGCAAAAGGATCTGGCCTCTGAGCCGTGAAGGTTTTCCCCCCAAATCCAAACTCAATCCCAGCATCTCCATCTCACACTCCACAACTCTATATCGCAGCTCTTGCTATCCATTAAAACATGACAATTATTTTTATGACTTAATGCACAGTCTGCTGAGGCCTTGTTGCCCAATGTCTCTAATGTTGCAAATTATTGACAAAGTAAATTAATCTGCACATTTGTTGGCGGCCGGACCAGAGACCAACTAGCGCGACACCTCTAAGATCACTAAGGCTCTCCCACTTGGTGGGGCATATTACTTAGCGAATGTGTGCAGAGGGGGAAATCGGATCTTAGTTATAAGTATTTTTGTATTAATTTTGTACTCTTCAAATAATTGTAAATAAAAATCAAAGCTATTATATTAGGTAATGAAATAATTTAATAGATATGAAATAAAAACATTAAATGCGATTTATTGACGTGTTAAGGGATATTCTTAAAGAGCGATAAGTTGATAATAATTGGATATAAATATTGATTTAATAGTGGATTCAATAATAAGTTCCGCAAGATTAATATCATTAACAGTATTAGAATTTGCAAAGATAAGCCATAAGGTACAAAGTGTGATGTAGCGGGGTCTGAATATCAAAACTTCTATATACCACAGAATTTTCGCCTGTGTAAATCGATAGCAGCTTAGACTCAGACTTAGTGCGAACCACACTTTGCATATTTCTTGTTTAATTATAATTTTTTCGGGGCGCAGTTAATGAGCGCGCTCCAGTTGGGCCTCGGCGGCGGCGATCTTGTTTGGGAGGCGCGCGTGCCGAAAATCGACACCACACGACACTCTGGGTGGATTGCCACATCCAAGTCAGAGTCAGTAATGAGTGTGGAGTATGGAGTGTGTACCGGTGTCCGTATATAAGCAGCCGAGGACTACCCCAGATTAATTACTTCGATTCCGATCTTCGTCGAGTGCACTTCAACACGCCCAAAGACCCAACAAAATGATGGGAAAAGTGAGTCTACACCTTGGCGGCATTGCTTTCTGGGATTAATAACTCCTCGAATCCTTTCCAGTTTAGCTACCTGCTATGCCTGTGCCTGGCCAGCGCCGTCTGGGCCATTGAACTGCAGCCGGAGCCGGACTATGGACCGGTGGCCTACGAGTTCCAATGGGCGGTGAATGATCCCCACACGGGCGACATCAAGAGCCAGAAGGAGACGCGCAAGGACGACAAGGTCGAGGGCGTCTACGAGCTGATCGATTCCGATGGCTATCGCCGCATTGTCCAGTACAAGGCGGACGACCATAACGGCTTCGAGGCCATTGTCCAGCGCGAGCCCACGGACATTAAGATCCCACTGCCGGAGCCGCCCAAGAAGCTGCTGGCCGCCAAGATTCTCACTCCGGTGGTGCCGGTTGCTCCGCTGGTTCACTATGCCGCCCCCAAGGCCATCATCAAGCAGGAGCTGTCCACAGGCAACTACGTCTCTGTCTCCGGACCCACAGCCCAGTACAAGTACTAAACGGATCGGACCTCTCACCATCACCAGCTCATCGGGATACCCGTTTCACTGCCATGCTCCATTACATAAATTATAGATTCGTCCATTTAAAATATACATACAAAAATACATATAAACTAACTATAAAGAAGGTACGCATTCAATTTGTTCACCAGAAGAACACAAAAAACATGGAGTTTTAATTGGGAAAAGTGGATAATTTTATTAAAGAAAACACAATTTTCGGTGACAATTTCACTGACTAACCTTGTTAGCCGGAAGAATAAACTTATTCTTGCAAGACACTGGTCAAGAAAAAGCTAATAACCAACTTAGATATCACTATCTCAGATATTTTTTTTCACGTTGCAGAGAACAAAAAGCGGTATTTTTTTTTTGTTTCATTCAATGCTTAAATAAAACGTGAATGAAACCAGCTTAAGTTAGTTGAACTCGAACTTTTGGACTCACTCCAGCGCGGAGACTCCACCTGTGCAGAGTGGTGTCTCATAGACCAGATGTGTCATCATCATCATCGCGGCGCAGCTGGCTCCGAGTTAGTGATAAGCACAAACTAATGCTATCGCCACCAGACGCAACACGGTCACCATAGATGCCTCTAATCTCACGTAGCTGCCTGCGGCAACTCGAGGGCGTCCAATTACCGCTGCCGAAGACGACTCTATTGGGTTTGGCTAACGCTCAATGGGAGCATCAGTGCGAAAATGGTTGACTCGCCGAAGACATCACGACATCTGCTGCAGGTTCTCCTGCTAATGGCTCTGCTGGGCTTTTGGCTTGGCGAAGTTTCCGCCAAGGATACTGCCACCGATGCGGATGCTAGGTGGATGGCTCCGCTCAAGCAGTACGGATACACGGCCAAGCATCTAAAGAACAAGGTGGAGCACGGCGAGTTCACTACCTTCGAGCTGGGCACCCCCAACTACAAAATTCTTAATCCCGAGGACGAGCCGGAGTACATCACAGCGGATCAGCCGCACTACCAGGAGATGCTCAGGCGCCTGACCAGCGGTCAAAGCGGCACGGACACTATCGATGTGGACATGGCGATGCGCAGGCAAAGCCATCGAGTAAACCAAGAGCATGAGAAGCCACAACAAATACCTCCCAGAATCAAGACCACAGTGAGCCATATGCCATTAGGACCCAGTCGTTGGGAAAAACTCAACATGAAGCGGAGTTCCTTCGAAAGCAGACAGAAACGCAAGGAAACCAGGGAACCTGATGTCGCAGATAGACTGAGTCTGCTGCCAGACTTTGAGGTCTACTCCGGGGCCAGACCCTTCCAGAGCAGAGTTGCGAATCTGAATTGACCCTCAGCTTGCTATCCGGTATTTATTTATTATTTTGTTTTAATGTGTCAAGTGAATAAATATTTATTGAATATGTAGAAGAAGGAGTTTGAAGGGTTGGAAAAAAGAGATACGATTTTTATTTGTGTTAATTTTTGTAAATTAAAAATAATAATTTAAATTGGTTTTCAGAAGAGAAATGCTTAAAGTAGGTAAATTATATGATTTTTATACCCTTGCAGGGTATTATAATTTCAGTCAGAAGTATGCAACGCAGTGAAGGAGACGTTTCCGACCCTATAAAGTATATATATCCTTGATCAGCATCAACAGGGGAATCTTTCTAGATATGTCAGGAAGAAATCGATTTTTTGGACATTTTTGCAAAATTTTATAAGGGGTTACATCATTAAAATTTTTTATTTTGATAAAAAATTGGATTTTAAAAATTTTTAAATGAAGTATGCAGATTTATTAACTGTAGAAAATCAGAACAGTTTTCCGATTTAAAATTAATGCTCTTTTGGCCGAGTTATGATATTTTTAATTTAATAAAAATCAAGAAGTTTTTTTATATTAAAAAAATCCGATTTTATAATACAAAATAATATTTTTCTAAGTCAAGGAATCATTTCCGACCCCATAAACCATATATATTCTTGATCAGCATTAACATGCGCATCTTTCTAGACATGTCCGGAAGAAATCGATTTTTTTGCCATTTTTGCGAAATTTCTTAAGGGGTAACATCATTAAAATTAGCAAAAATGGCCAAAAATTTGGATTTCTTAAAATTTTAACTTTGGTATGCAGCTTTTTTAAATTAAAAAAAAATTAAAACAAAAATGCTTGCCGAATCGAAATTAATGCATTTTTGGCTTAGTTATGATATATTTTAATTGTTACCTGCAAGGGTATACAAACTTTGGCTGGCCAAAGTTAGCTTTCTTTCTTGTTTAAAAATGAATTCAATATTTTCATAAACCTTTCCCAGCAAAGATAGAGAAATTAAATAAGGACCATGCATATTATTTTATAGAAAGGTCAATATTAACAAGTAATATATATGATTGTATATGAAATATATATAAATAAGATATATAAAAATATATATGTATGGTATATATATTAGTGCCTAGGTAAAAAATGGTTCCCCGTTTAAGATACTTATAAAGATATTTAGTCTGGGTTTATCTTAATCAAGTAAATATAATACTTTTTATTTATAAAATATATTTATAATAATCTGGAAGACATTAAAATTGATTAGTAGTTAAAAAGAATATAAATATTTAGTGTACATTTACTAGTCTGTTTTTTATGATTAGGGTAAAAAGATCGTTTAATTTATACAGCGGATTTTTCAAAAAATATTGACTACGTATTTTGTTTACAATAATAACTTAAATATGCATTATTTATATCAGTGCAAAATGTTGTGTTTATTAAAACCCAAATATATGTACTTGCCAGATAAGTCATTGATTACAAGCATTATCATTTACCCAAAAATGTATTTATCCATGTGGAACGTGTAGGCACCAAGAACCAAGTGCCACGAAATTGCAACGAAAGGTGATAAGGCTATCTGAGCCACAGACGATAATTTTACATACCATATAGTAGGCCAAGACCCAGAAATTATAAATCCCCAAACAGATCAGAAAGGTTCCGCAGAGACCAAAAAAAGCTCAGCAAGTGCAGAATGGGGACAGAAAAAAAAAACAAGATATATGGTAAGAAATAATGTATATTTAATATGAAAATAAAATAATTAATCTTAGGATTAGGAAATGGAAAAAGTAACTAATAGGATCGGAATGATAAAACCAGGAGAAGTAATTAGAAAAAAATATATTTTAAAAACTTAAAAGTTATCGCAATTATACAGAATCTTTTTATAAAGAATGTTATGGTACACATTCCATATCTGCTCCACATTTTCTTTGGATGCCTATGAAACTTTTCCCACCGAGTCTTGAAGGTGAATGTCATGAACCAGGTGAATGTCATGAACCAGGGGTCATGAAAAGATATGTTTGTTAGCCATGTTCGCCCATGTTGGACGCCATCGAGCTTCTGCTGCGATGCTATCGCCATCGAGTGCGGGTAGAAATGCTTGAATGTGTATTACGGAAGCGGCGGCGGCGATTGTGGCCCATTCCGGAGCACTCCCGAAGCCACCAACCACACTCCACCCCCTCCCGCTCCGATCGAAGCTTAGCGGGCGTTTGGAACGTGACGCGGTCAACGCTTCCGCGACCCATTTGTTCGGCGTTGTAAAAACGGCGACGACGGAGCCGCCACCGCAGCGTATTTAAGAGCTATTCAGCGATTTGCATGGGAGAGTTTCGCACGCGACCGACCAGCGACCAACAACCAAGTGCAAAGTGTCATTCCGGGACAGAGAGAGAAATTCCGCCAAGAAGAAGCGTCTAGAGGGAGTCTTGAGGGGACACAGAAGGGAACGAGATCAAAAGAGGGAGAAATTCTGCTGAAAACGGTAAGAAATGGGGTCGATTGATTGGGAGCGATTGCAATGGCGATTCTGATTCTGATACCGATGGCGATTGCGACTTGGTTCTGACCCATTTCCTAACTCACTCTTTTACTCTTCTCCCCTCCCGTAGATGTTCCAACGCTGCAGTTTGCTTTTTATGGCGGCCGTGATGGTGGTGAGCCAAGTGAGCCAGGCCCACTTTCCGGAGTACTGTGCCGAGTGCGAGCAGGAGGTGTGGGAGCAGGTGCCCTGCAGTGAGGTGCCCACCACCGCGGCACCTCCTACAACTCCCAGAACGACCTTGGGAACGACGGCCAGGCCGCCCACAACTCAGAGGCCCAGCACAACTACTGCACTGCCCACAACCACCAGTGCTCCAAATATACCCACCACAGAGCCAACGTCCGCCTATAAGAAGTGCTACTGCGAGTGCAAGCTCGGCTGCAAGGAGTTCTGTCGCAAGGTGGTGGACTCCAATCCCAAGCAGCCCTTGACCCAGATCTCCTCGATCGGAGAGTACGTTTCCGGCGGCCAGGTGGAGTTCACACATGTGCATCAACGCAAGTACTTCCCCAAGTATGCGGGCGAGGGATACACTGGATCCGTAGGTGGCCCCAAGGCCTACAAGCCGCCATATCCTCTGGTCTACGAAAGGGAAGGAGCTGAGGCTTCTCCGGCTTCCATTCCCTCGGTGGCAACCTCTGTCGCCTCTTCCTCGCCTTCAGTGGCCAGCATAGCTGCTCCCAACTACACTCTCGAAGAGCTGGCCCAGCTCTTGAGCAGCGCTTATGGCAGCAAGAAGAGCTATCCATCGGTTCCGTCGAGTCCCCAGCTCCAGCCAGCTCCTCCTTCGCCCTCAGTGTACTACTCGCCAGTATACAGGCAGGGTCCTGTTGAGCCCATCCTAAGCAAGGTCCTCCCGGCACCCAAGCGCACCTCCAGCATCAAGTTCGCTGCGGCGGCAGTGGCAGCCTCCAATGGAGTGTCGGTGGCCAAGATCAAGACGCCGTACGAGGAGAAGGTAGTGGTGGCCACACCTTCGACAATTTACGATAGAACCACCTCGTATCCCATTGTAGAGGAAGTGCAGAAAGTGTACTCAGCCCCGCAAACGGAATCCTATTCGAGCCAAACGGAGGCGTATCCGAGTGTGACACCCATCTACCCAAGTCCCACGGAGTCCTATCCCAGCCACAAAGAGTCCTATCCCAGCATCACAGAGTCCTATCCCAGCCAGACCGAGTCCTATCCCAGCATCACGGAATCCTATCAGTCCCCACAGCCGCAGGCCAAGTCTTACGGCAGTCTGGAGTCCGGAGCGGACAAGCCATCGTCCAACTTTGATCTAGCCATAGATAACTATCTGAAGGACTTTGGCTATGGCAACCAAGGCAGGGGTTACGGAGATTACTGAGCGAGAGATGGGGATGAAGAGATGGAAATGGAGCTTTCCGTTTCAATCGTTGTTGTTAGGTTTAGGTTCTATGACTATTTAATTATTTATTTTAGTTATAAAACATAACTAATTAGAGACATTAAAGATGATTAAATTATTGTCAATTATTTTTTTCCTTTGAACTTTAACTATTAAAAAGGATATTAAAAGGGAAGGATAATATATAAAAAAAGAGTATAGGAAGCTGAAATTTATATTATGCTTCTTGGAGTTAAAATGTTTTAAATAAGGTTGTGATTTAAAAAGAAAGTTATAAGAAAAAGATATTTGCAAGCCACAATTATAAAACAAAATTATAAATTAATTTTGTATTACATTTCTTATTACAAACAGTTTTAAAATTCCAAGTAAATAACTGTTCTGCCTCAAAAACTGCTAGCATATTTTTGGGCTTCATGGCACTTTGTAGTTTTAGGGAAAAGGTTTAATCAGATTAATGCCAGTGCAAACATTCCAATTTAAATTATAAAAATTACTACCCCATCAACCATCTACATCATCCATAAATCCAACTATAATTAACACAAAACAAATATTATTTTGGCTCTTTGATGCATTTTATTATTCGTATTTAAAAAGATTTTATTTCGTTTGCATTCGCTTTTGATATATTTTCTGCGGTTTTTTGATAACATTGAATAAGATTAAATCTTACGATTTTTAGCCAGCTTGTTGTCGGTTCCTTGCCAATCGGAGGTACTCGGATATATACATAAATAAGTTGTATGAAATTCAGTATGCAAATATATATTTATGTAAGCGCTATAAGTATATTCGAACAACGCTGTCTATAACCCATTTTTATTCGCGCATATTTCACGGCTCAAGTCTTTCGTTATAAAGGTTTCTTTATGCTTTTTCTTTACTTATTTTTTGTTTGCCATGAAAGGGACGTTAAAGAATATATATTTTGTAGATATCAGATATATTATCACCTCCTCAGTACACTCGATAGCCAAAGAAAGTAAAACGTTTTTTGTAGTTTACTATAATTGCACTTGATAGTTTATTTTCTCAAAAAACAAAAATAGAATCAGAATCAGAAGCTTTAAGTAAATAAGAACCAATTGCAGTGTACACTTGCAGAGATATGCGAATGTGCGGTTTTTTATTTATTTATCTTTTCATTCTCAATAATGTATGCATATAAAATATAACAAATAATAAATGAAATCATAATGCTTCGAACATATTCGTACATTGGTAAATGAAGAATGAAACTAAAAAACGATAAATTGCAACACTTTGAATTAATGACACGTCGTCGTCCCAGCTATGTGAATTTAAACATAAATTATAGAGAGGAAAATAATTATAGTTATACGATATAGTTTGTTTTTTAAATGTATATATACAGCTTCTCCTCATTCATTAACAATCTCTCTGATCTGATCCGTTGCGTTAAAATATATATTATTATTTTTCACGTTCGAAATATAGTTCAAATGTAGTCCAAATGGTAAACCAAAACAATCGCTAAGCAGGCCAAGATACTCCAAGTATCTTGTAGATACTCTGCTTCTGCTTGGTGCTGTTTTTTCGGTCCCACACAATTTTGCTAATTATACAAATATAGGTGTCATTACACACTTTAATATATAAATATGAGTACATGTATTATTCGGTTGCCTTTTGTTTTGATTAAGTTTGCTGACTAATGCAGTTTCAATTGCAAATAGGAAAAGTATCTTGGTTTCTTTGGTTGTTGTATTCTTTTTGTTTTCTTTTATGTTTATGGTTGCCTTTGCATTCGCCTAGATTTGCATTTAATTATATGTTTTATTTATAACATTATGCAGCCAGAGTTTAAAGTTTACGCATTTATTTTCCTTGATTAAACATTGATTAGGTTAAGGTGTAGTTGGTTTTTTTGCCTTTATCTTTACATTAAATGTGTAGAAAAATTCGTTAAATTGATTTGCATATAGTTATTCGATCTCCTCACCCTAACTTCCTTTCTACCTCCCTTCTATTCTCCCGGTTAGCCACAAATACAAATTTTTTTTTTATTATTTTGGCTTGAAAAATTAAATGAAATGGCGGTCTAAGATTTTTTGGTTTTTGTTAACTACGATTTGTGCCTTGCAGTTCTGCGCTATGAGTTCTCTTTTTGTTAATTTAATTATTTAATCCATTATTTGGCTGCAGTCTAGACTCGTCGTTATTCGATATTCCTTCCCATCCTCGCATGTCCCCTATGATATACAGTAATGGTACTTGCTCTCTCTTTAAACTGGTATTACACTGCAAATGCTAAAAACTTATTGCCCCTATCAAGCGGGCCAGCGGGGGACCACACGCGGAAAAGCGGCCTTCGGACCAACGGTGGCTTCCAAAATCCGCAGTGGTTCTGCCCCAAAACGCCCACACCGTTTCCGCATCCGAATCCGTAGCCAAGCCCCTGTCCCGCGTCGTCCTGTGAATCCTCCTCCGGCGCTAGGTGAGCATGTAGACAAACAGCAGCGCCAACGCCACATTGAAAATCAGGACGAGCAGCATCAGCTGCTGGCGAACGAACCAATCCTGAAGGGAAGGAGAATATGGAATAATAATAATATTACAAAAATAAATTGCCATAGAAATAAAAGCTAGCTTTTTAGAAAAATTCGAATTATTATATTCAATATTTTAACTGCTTTTGTTTTGTTATTCAAAATCCTCTTTTAAACATTCACCGCTGTCAAAGCCTAAATATTTAATTACTGAATAGGTATTCATAGCCACTTATCAAAATGATCTGCTCAGTGTGCAATTTTGTTTTGGCAAAATTTGTATTCATAAACATTATATATGTATTCATATATATTATGCATATATTACTCATAATTTATGCACAACGAATGCCTTAACTTGAGTGCAGCGATTGTGAAACAATTTTCGGAGAAAACAAACCGATTATGACAGTCGCTTACTCAGCCAAATATGAATAATTCTAGAGGCACTCAAAGACACTCACCTTAACCTGTGGACTGACCAAATACAGCAGGGGATTCGCCCTGAGGCGCTCGTTGACCTCAATCTGGCGACGCACTGCCTCCCGTCGGGCCGAGCCCAAGGCGGACACCTCCTCGCGGCTCATGGCCTCTGTGGCGCGCGGCAGCTCCTGGAAATCCGGCATTGACTTTTTCCGCTGCAGCGTCACATTGATGGGCACCGTCTGTGGAAGAGAGGGAGCATTTATCCTGGATTAGCTGCGAGTGTCAACCGAGAGATAACAAGCCACTCTCCACCTCAACTGGCGGCTCAACAATCCAGCTCTCGCTGGCTCTCCTCGCCAGCAAAGCCGGCGAGAACATAAGGTCCTCCTCATCCTCCTCCGGATACCAATCCATGGCGGTTTCCTCCTTGACTTTGACTTTACTTTAGCGACACTGAGTTGTACGTCTGCTGCGGCTATATGGCTATCTGGCCGCTTGCATAACGTTGGACAATTTGTGTAATCTTTTCCTCTACAGGCGGCGCTTCCAACTTGTAAACGAGTTGGACATGGCGTGCCCCCTTGGGGTTCTTACTAAACACCGATCTCGACAAGAACACGGCGATGCGCGGACGCGAAGAGAGTGGCCAAAAATAGTCGCGGAGCCGAGCCAAAACAACAGCGGATATTGTCGCTGCTCAGAGACTCTTCCTCGGAATTCCTATGTATTCGTCTTGTTTTGACCGTGTTCGTCGTCGCACATATATTTAATTATATTGCCCACTCATCAAGGGGATTCGTAGGAGTCGAGTGGTTAATCCGTGATGGCCGAAGCGTTGTCTGCTACTGGCCAGCTCATCGCGCAAACTGTCGCCACTGGGCCACAAAAATCCAAGAGCCGGCGGGCGACACATTCACGAGAGGATTATTTATTGCTCTGTCGCCGGCCTTCCAATGGCCACTTGTGGAGTGTTCATTCCGGCGGAGAGCCACACAGCAGGAGCGCTACTAGGAGAAGAGCTACCGAGCCGGAGAGCCCTAAACCCAGAGAGATTCAGCGGCACGCATGCATTCCAACCTGGCCGATGGCCGACCGCCGACGGCTGATCCGGCTGGCGTGCATTCGTGCCCGTCTATAAATAGTCCAGAATGGGCACATGTTCGCCCCGTCCGCGAAAAGAGATGGCCGAGAAATGCTTCAAAATGAACAACCCAGTCTCCCCTCCCGTTCCGTTCCGGTTCTCTCGCGGATCACTCGAATATATCTCTCCCCCGCACACAAGATGGATGGCGTAGAAATTAAGTTAATTGCTCGGATTAACTGTGTTATGAAATGTCTTTCTGTTCCCCGGGAATTTTGGCCATGATTCCACCAACTCAGAGTTGTCTTGACCTAATCTTGGAGAGATCCGGAATCTCTTTGTATATGAAACTTTCTCCTCAAATTAATTTAGATTTCCCCCCCTCTTTTAAGTAACTTCCAAGTACTCACCTTCATTTTCTTGCCGCCACCGCCGCCGCCTCCTCCTCCTCCTTTTCCGCCCAGGACCACGCCCACCGGCGTGGCCGGCTTGGCCGGCATGTACAGGCTCTCCGTGCGCTTGGGCTGCGAGGGCGAGGGAATGATGTCCTGGCCGAGCGTCCGCTGGCGCAGCAGGACGTCCTCGAACGGCTGGTTGGGTGACGAAAAAAGCGGTTCCACCTTAGTCTGGCTAGGCGCTCGTCCGGTGGAACCCAAGCTGGGTGTTCCCGCCCGCGATAGTCGCCCTCCGCCTGTACCCGAGGGCAGGGAACCATTGCCCGTCATGCTCGATGTGCCGACTCCAGGTTGCGGGGTGGAACCGCGGAATACTGAGCCGGCCCGGGGACGGCCATCCGGGGTGCTGGTTCCCCCATTGGTCAGTGGATCTGCCAGTCCAGAGCGATCCAGGGATGTCTGTCGTGAGCCAGCAAAGGCTCCGCTGAGGCGACTGGCTGCCCGGGCATACCGATCGATGGAGGAATCGCGACTGGGCGGACGCTTGTAGTGGTCAAAGTGATCGATGGAGGACTGCTGTCCCATCTGGCCCAGCATGGGCGGTCGTCCGCCTCGCTGCTGCTGTTGCTGTTGCTGCTGTTGGGCAGCTGCCATGGCGGCGGCACTGGCGGCCTCCTGAAGCTGCTGCTGCTGCATCTGGGAGGCGCGGCGCAGCAGATTGGTGGCATTGTGACTGGGCGAGGCTTGCAACGAGGGCTGCTGCTGGAGTTGCTGCTGCTGTAGGATTTGCTGTTGGAGTTGCTGCTGCTGCTGTTGCTGCTGCAGGAGTTGCTGTTGCTGCTGTTGTTGCTGTTGCTGCTGGAGTTGCTGCTGTTGTTGCTGCTGCTGCTGCTGGAGCTGCTGAAGCTGCTGCTGATTGGTGCCGGCGCCAAAGGGTATCTGGTTCTGGTTGGGGGCCTGGTTCTGCTTGAGACTCGAGTTGAGATTTGGATTCACCTTGGCCTGGCCGGGCGGCTGCTGTTGCTGGAACTGATATGCAGGATTCATTTGCGGGTTGCTCTGCTGCTGCTGCTGCTGTTGCTGCTGTTGGTGCTGCTGCTGGTGGTACATCTGGTTGATGGCGCTGATCACCTGGGCATGGCTGGGCTGGCCCTGGTTTACCATGCTGGACAGATCCGTCTGCGGCGAGACGGGCAGCTGCTGCGAGTACATCGATGAAGGCACGGGGCAGTCGGATTCCGGCTTTTGGTGCTGCTGCGAGGCACGACGCTGCTGCTGCTGTTGCTGCTGCATGGTCAGATATTGCTGCTGGCGCTGGGCCTGAGTGGCATACGCATCCGAACCGCTGCTGCTTGTGGGCGAGAACTGACCCGCCTGCTGCTGCTGCTGCATGCCCAGCCCCATTTTTACATTGGCATCGGAGGCGGCCGCGGGGCCGGGACGGAAACGCTCTCGCTCCCGGAAGCGCAGCTTCTCGAAACGCTCCAGGACCGAGGGCTTGAAGTCCGGTGCAAACTCTCGGGCCATTCTTACAGCGTTCTCGCAATCGATCCTCGCCTGCTCCGCGGACATGTCCGCATTTTGGGCCTTGGCAGCCGCTGTTGCCATCCTGGAGATAGCCATATCGGAACGCTGCATGGCCATTTTGAGGGCGCGCTGGGCCGCGTTCACTGCCGCCGTGATGCGGTCACGGAATTTGCGCGAGCGCGCCAGGAACAAATGCTTCTTTTTCTGGCTGGTGATCAGTATGTTGTTCTTGTACTTGCCTTCCTCGACAGTGCCGTCGCGGAAGGTGGTGACACCATAGCCATGCTTCCGGTTGTTGTACCACTCGCCCTCGTACCTGGGTTGGGGGGAGGAAAAATTCCATTTATTAATGCAAATCTCTGGCCATCATAAAAGCTACTTACTTGAGTCCATCGCTGCGCTCGGCCACGCCATGACCACAACGCTTGTCCTTCTTCCACTCGCCCATGTACGTCTCCACCACGGTGGGATCCAGCTGCTCGTCCTCCATGGTGAAGCTAGCATTGGACTCCGTGTGGTTGGATCTGGGGACAATGAGAGAGAGGGAGAGAGAGATTGTGGTTAAGCTTAATGCTAGTATTTTTAGGGGACAAGAACACTCACTTGGTGGTCAGATTGGACTGTTCGGAACCGGTGCTGATCCAAGAGGCCGAGGACATGGTGGAGCGAATGCTGCCAGAGGCAATGGTACCCCTCTTTTCCAGATCTCCCGTGCTGCGCTGCTTGCGCATCTTGAGGCCCTAAAAGGGAGGCCCAAATATGTACATTTAAAATCCTTTCAAGGAGTTCCCTCCTGCTCACCATTAGAAATCCCTTTTTGCCCGTCTTGTCCGTCAAACTGTTGCGCCTCACCGGCAGCTTGTCCGACTTGGCCGTCAGTACGAATCCTCCTCGTATTTCCTCTGCCTTCTCCACCATCTTTGCCACATTCCCATTCTCGCCGCTCCGCAGGGAACTCAGGGAGGCATGCAGATTCTTGCGTCGATGGTGCGAGGCCAAGCCGAAGGGCGCCGAGGTGCGGATTCCATAGCCATGCCTCTTGCCCTCCTGCCACTGACCCTGGTACTTGCCTGGAAAGGAAGAAGGGTGCAACATCATTATCAGCATTGCAGACCACTTGAAAAGCGGAGCGATTGTTATGCTAATGGAGCGCAAAAACTAAAGACTGCAGTGACTGGTGGCACTCCTCCTTCTCATTATACTTCTCCTCCTCTGGGAGTTGGACTAAGTGAAATGCTGGCCCCCCGCCCTTGGTTACTATTAATGGCTCCACGTGCCATTTCCCTTCTGGTCATTGCTAAAAGGTCCTAAGTAATATAAAACAATTGTGTATGGCAAAAAAAAAGAAGGAAAACAAACAATCGATTTGGGTTTCAATAATATTGAAGCACTATAAATATTTCAGGGAAATCAGAGAATTCTTCTTTCCTTTTTAATTTTCTATTTAATTTTCATAATGTTCTCCTGACTTTCAAGTCAAATTTCCTCCAAGTGTAGCTTCACCTAACAGGTGTGGGACCCCAGGTTAATTGTGGAACAAGGAGTTACGTTTGTTGATTAGGAAATGCTACTTAGCCTTCGACTAATGCTAATTGATAGTTATGCGCCAATTCCGTCGTCGTCGTCGGGCAAAGGTCGGCATTTACATTTGCATTTAAGTCGCCGAACAAAAACAATTCCCTAATGGTGGTCAATGCCAGATCTTGCCCTGCTAGCCTCTGCAGACGCCGCCACTCGGTGGTTACTTGGCCATGTGGTTTTTTTTTCCGAATTTCCCCAGAAAAAGCCGCACTCATGCAGGAAAAATGTACAGAGCGAAAAGACAAAGCGGGAAAGCCAAAATATCATTGAACCGAATGCGCGGCAAATAAAATATGACGTCAGGCTGGGTCGTCGTTGCTTGGTTATATGGTTATGGAGGTGTAAGGATGTGTGTGTGTGTGTGGGACACACACACAGAGACACTCGCACCCAGAAATGATTACAGAAACGTCAAAAAGTAAAACAACGGCTACTAGGGAACGAATGAACGAACTCATATTCGCCTCCGTTTTGAAACTGAGCCAAAAAGCAAACACAAAATGATCTCATGCACATTACGTATACGCAGCGTATGGCGCCTAACACACACACACACACTTACCACCATCCGCGTAGGTCTCGCATCCGGACCCGTCCTGGTAGCCCTCGTTCCAGGTGCCCTCGTACTTGGCCGTCGACACAGTGCTCTCCCGAACGCCATAGCGGCCTTTATGTCCATCCTTTGACCACTCGCCGCGGTAGATCTGCCGCCCGATCTGCTCCACGCCCAGGCCATGACGGCGTCCGTTCTGCCACTGGCCCTCGTAGTGCGAACCACTAAAAAAGGATACAGAGAGGATAAGAGGATGTTAAGGAGTGAAACCTGCCTTGGATACTCACCTTGGCCAGATGTACGAGCCCGACACCTCAAAGCCATAGTTCCAGGCTCCGGCATAGGCGCCCTGGTGCTTTGGTCCCGTACAGACGCCATGACCATGGGCCTTGCCCTCGTCCCAGCCCCCGCAATAGGTGCCGCCGTCCTCAAAGTCGAAGCGGCCGCCGCTTATGGGTCCACGCCTGCCGCCCGCCGCCTGGGAGGCGGAATAGGCAGCCATATCGCCGCCATTTTGTTGCAGTTGCTGCTGTTGCAGTAGCTGCTGTTGCTGTTGCTGCTGCGGCGTGAGTTGGCCAGCCTGTTGCATGCTCGAGCCTTTCGGAGTGTCTACAGTTGGCGGCGCCTTAAGATACTGCTAGATGCTAGATGCTTTTTATGCCTCCGCCGGCTGCTCATTGATTTCCCGCTCGACGACGACGACTCCTCTGGCTCCGCCGCCTGCTGTTGCCTCATCTGATCCTGGTTCTTACTGGTCTAGTGCCAATGGTTTCGTTTCGCTTGGTTTCGCTCGTTTGTTTTTCTGCTTAACCTATATATGTATTTATATTTATATTTATATGTTTCTGGGTTTAGTTAGTGTTAAGTTAAATTGTTGGCCTTTTCACTGAAACGCGAAAGTAGCAAAATTCTCCTTCTCTTGAGTGAGTTTGAGTTCTTTTTCGTATTAACCCTTTATAGCCCAGCGATACGACTACAGTTGCTTGAATCGAGCATCCGTGGAGCTCTGGAACTGGTTTTGGTACTGGTTCTGCTTCTCTATGCTAATGTCGTAGGCCATCCTTGGTCAGTTGGCAAAAGAAGAAGACGGCGAGTGATCTGTAGCGAGTAGAAAAAAAATAATAATGAATGAAATTTCGAAATAAATAAAAAGAGAGCTGTGGGTTTTCCGGGAAACTAATCGCATTATGCAATCGACTTTACGTAAATCTTAGTGCCATAAAAATGCCCCCTCGATATATTTACTGGATTCAACGGAACTATCCGAGTGGGGAAATTGCGCATATTCAGTGTGATTTATAAGGCGCGTTTAATTGATTTTTATCTACCGAAAGTCTTGGTCTTGCCACGCGCGAAACTCGAATTTTTTTGTTGGGAGGAGGAGCAGCGTTGGAAAAATGGTGGAAAATACCTGGGAGAGAGCCGAGATGACGATGTGGTGAGGTGGTGACGATGCATAATGGTTTCGATGTAATTGCATTCGATCTCGTTGCTTTCCGTTTCTATTTTATTTTTTCGCCTGCTACCCAAATTTATCACCGCCCCAATATATACAATATATATACATCTATATCTTTTCGCTCGCCTATATATGCACGACGATATGCCACGTCAAAGGCCAAAATTCTCAATGGCAGACCGCCCCTCGTCGAGTGGGTGGTGTTGGTGGTTTGCTCAGCTCGCTCAGCTGTTTCCCTGGCACTCGCAAATGAATATATATAAATCGGAATATATATATTTTCAGAGGTACGCCCGATAGCAGTAATAGAAAACTACGAAGAGTGCATAGTAGCAGGCAAAGGCCAGGAACAGCACTTTCAATGTCTTCATGATGGTTTTTCTTTCTGATGGTTTGTCACTGGGCTGAAGATCTCCGGTTTTTCCCCATGTGGAGGCCAGGGCCATGTGGAGCCGTAGGAATTTCAATGAGTAATACCCGGTCCCGGTATAGTACAGATTTTTATTATAATTGCGCCCAAATTGCTGGTAATTTATTTCGCTTTATTGATTCAACGGAAACCTAGCAAAAAGAATTCGTATATTTATGGGTGGAAGGGGTATTACAAATACGTGAATCGATTTTCCAATACAAAATCAAGAGTGTTTGCTGTATAGATTTCTTACGGGAATGAATAGTTTTCGATACAAAAAGTCTGGGTTAATTTAAGGTTTCGTTTTGTTTTTGGTATAAAGGGATATATTTCTCAATTTTCGCATCTTTTAAATTAATATTTCTTTGAATTTTCAATAATTCTGTATATACTCAATAATATTTTAAGATTTATTCTCCTCACTTTGCAGATAGTTCAAAGAGTACAATAAATATTTTCTTGGCTTTCAAATAAATAATAATAATTATTTCTTTATTTACTTTAAAGAGTTTAATAAATGTTTCTTTTACTTTGCCATAATATTATATATTCTCTATAATATTTGAAATAATACATTCCTCAGTTTTAAACGTTTCCTAAGTTTAAGAAGTACAATACTTATTTTCAAGGCTTTCAGATAATATAGGGAATAATATTTAATAGCATATTCCTGACTTTTCAGATAGTTTAAAGAGTTCAATAAATATTTGCTTGGCTTTTTCGAAAAGTGAGTATTTTCCCCTTAAAAATTCAGTTTGTTTCATAAAGAATGCACTGAAACAACAAAACAACAAAACATTAGCTGAGGGGTGAAAAGCGCGTATACGCGATGCGCCAAATTGCGTATACGACGTGGGGCCAGCATGGTTGCAGTATTCCCCCTTGATAAGCGCAACTACAGCATTCTTGCAAATAGCGACGATACATGGACGAAGGGTTATGCCACAAACTGGGAGATTCCTGCCACTCAACCGGGGGAATTCAGAGGAGTTGCTATTCCCCAGAATTAAGCGTTTGATGGGGATCAGGCAACAGTGTTCCATCACTGCCGTTTGAACTATTGTTTACTTTAATCATCTTGCAACACAACGAACTCGGCAAACATTCTGCTTACTCGTATTAGCTTCTGACTTGGACTCTGCCGCTCTCGCTTTTATTGTTCTTTTGCGGTCGACGCCAAAGCGATTTGGGTTTTATTTTATTTGAAACGAGATGAGACGGGAGCTGCGGAGTCGAGTCGCATCGCGTCGAGACGCCAGGAGAGGCGAATTCTTCAGAAGCTTTGTTATTAATAGACAACATACACACACCGAGCGGAATCGAGAACAAAGGAGGCTGTCTCTCCCTCTCTATCCCGTCTTCTTGTTCTTGTTCTTGTTCTCCATCTCCCCCAGTCTGACAATGTTGTTTTGTTTAAACATTAATGATGATGAAAACACACGCAACCAGGAGCGAGATGCCCAGAGATTCCCTCTTCCCAAGTTTTTTTTATCTTTTTTTGTTGTTGTTTAAAAACAAAATTGATTTCGAGCTGGGGAAATTGTGGCAGAGCATTGCAGCAACAGGCCAGGTGAGGTGTTTGCACACCTGCTGGAAGAGGAATAGTGATGGGGCCAGCTATGAACCTTTTATGTAGGAAAAGGAGCAAAGTACTGATAAGTACTTTTCTTACGAAAAGGTTATGTATGTTTTTTTTTTAAGTTTTGGGAACGGGAACTTAAAGTTTACGATGTCATACCAAAAATTACTCTTTTTTTTGAGCCTTTAAATAACAATTTTCTGACTAGGCAACAACTTATGCTTTTTTTCAAGAAAATTTTAAATTATCATTTAACCCTTATCCGTGCCTTAAATCCCAGACTAAAAACGAGAGCTACCTGGCTAGACCAAAGCTGAAGTACAACTTCCCAGATACTTCCCATCACTGATTCAATAGTAATTCCAAGAAAATGTGTTCACACACCTGCTGTAAATCTCAGAGGCTCTTGGATACGATGCTCGGTTAACCATAAATCGATGATGATATTGCCAAGACAACAAATACAGCAAATAGAGCAATCAATCTGGCGCAGCAGCCCCAGTAAATATATTTCCCAGGCCACATTATCAGACTCTCTCTCTTTATTCTTCTGATAAAGAACATTTACGTATGAGCATTTATTTATAAAAAAGCCAGCGGCCAGCGAAAGAGACCAGGCGGTGGCCAGGAGACGGGGCATGTATCATTGTTATTTTAAAAGATTTTCGAACAAAGCGAAAGCAAAATTCAAATAAAAACCCAAACTGAAATGAACAGAGAACTCAGATGAAATTCGCTCGCCGAGCAACGAAAATATTCGTAATATTGTTCAACCGTATTTTAGTGTTTCTTGCCAAAGTCTATTTCATTTTCGTTTCATTTTCCTACAATTTTGTGCGAAAACTGTCCCCGCCCGCGTCTTGCTTTTTAGCTTTTCTTTTGCTTTTCTTTTGCCTTCTGCCTTGGGCTAGATGGGTTGAAAATTAAATAATAGTCCACTGACTGACGTCGAATTTGTTGATGGACGAACGGCAGGCAGGCAAACACACGATCCTGTTTTGTTTGTGTTGGGATGCGTTTTGGTGTTTTTGCTTTTTGCATTTTACACTTTGCCTTTCCTCCGCTTTTAGTTTAATCAATTCGCACTGCAGTCTCTCTCGCAGACACACACACACACACACACACACACTCGTTGGCTAACACACACTCTCTTGCCAGCGAACACGCAGCGTTCAGTTTTCGGTATTTTTAGCATATTTTTTTCGTACAACTCGCACTATATTATATAGAAGATGGCCGCGGCAGTCAACAGCAGCACATTCTCTAAATTGAAATTATTTATAGGTTCACATAAATTAAGTATTAACACCCAGCACAGGCCTTGTTCTAAGGTAGTTATACCTCCTTAACTTGACTTGGACTGCAGTTGCACCTCCCTCGAGTGCCTGTTAAAGGGGTTTAATCGATTTATAGAATTTCTCAACTGCACATTTCGGCTTCAAGAGGCTTTATTGTAGATTTTAGCACTCTTTCCTGCCCGTTTGTTATTCGAACTTCGAACTGATTGGCCAGGCTTAATGGCCGTTATTTATTTGCCTTTCCCAATTGAGACACACGAGTGCCGGGCGTTAATCTATATTGTTTTATAACTCATTTAACGCAACGAAATTTTCCACACGCACACACACACTGACGCCAGGCGAAACTCGGGCAAAAATTTGTTAAGAAAGAATGAAAAAAAAAAAACAGAAAATAAGATGTGAAAATGTGAAAAGTGTATGTTAAAAATAGCAGAAAGTCAAAGCGCGTTGAAAATGCGATGTCGTTGAGTTAAATTCTTTCGTTCCCGTGCCTTGATTGTTTCCAAATCAGCTGTTTGTGGAGCAGCAAATACCGCTCCGGATGCGGTATAAGCGGAATGCCGTCTGCCGGATGCGGATGTGCGGTGGAGCAGGAAGAGCGAGCGGAACGCACGAGCGGCGGGCAGCGACTGTCGGCCGAAAAGATTCGAAAATGGGGAGAATCGGGATCGCGTAGTAACGACACGGCGACGACGATGATGACGACAAATACGAGTACGACAACGACGACGACGACGACGAGGAGAAACAGTCCGCAAGTTCCCGAAATCCCCGCAAAACCTCTGAGTGGGGCACGTTGCGTATACGCCCCGTTCAACTAACTTTCTTGTGCGGATTGTTCTAGTGGCGACGACATTCGTGCGACACGTCTAAACGCCAAACGCTTGCAAAGCGAAAAGAAATCCCCGCCAGCATCCATGCCAGATTCAAGCCAATTTACTCGCTCTCCCTTGCACTCTCTCTTCCACTCTCTCCCTCGCTCTCTGTGTTCATTTCAGGGATCCCGAGATCGCTGAATTCATCTGGAAAGCGACAGAAGAGCGAGCTGTGGCTTCCAATTAATAGTGCTCTCGCCGCGGGTGGCGAACAGCTGTTACATATCGAGACGAAAGACGTGTGGACGGGGCGTATGAGCAATATTTGGGCATAAAGAAATATGAATGAACGCATCCATCGCATCGCGTCTGTTGATCGCTTAAATAATGTATATATTATTAGCACTGCTTTGTTTGCCTCTCGGTGGCCAGCGGCTGACTCACTTTTCTTTTAAAATGCACGCTTCTAGGTGATAATTGACAACGGTTTGCGGATAATATCGGTTAAAGGTCCTGTTCCAGTCCCGGCTAATAGATGGGCAGCCACTTTACGTCCAGTGGCCACTTATCCCGGTGTCCACTTAATAATGCACCCACCGAGCGACCGACCGAACGTCACATGTGTGCCCCACTTTCTGTAAATGCAATTACCACGCCGCATCGGGAGCACTCAGTGTTCCCTCGTTGCAGAAGGAGCTTAGGGAAATCCCCGCTGTTGGGGATTGTGTGTTGGAAGCCCCTCCCGGGCCAGTACACGTCACAGGCCATTAACTGGAGTACAGACACGCACCCGCCCTGGAAGGGTGTGCTGGCGGCGGAGTGCACACACACAATTTCGAAATTAAAAAACAAACAAGGAATACGAGTAAGCTGCCAACTGCAGGCCACACAAATGACATTAAACTGGAAAAAAACACTCGGAAAATATTCCTGAATATATTCCTTTATTTTGGCAATACTATTTGATTTTGATTTAATGGGCTATTCAGTAATTTCTTGTTGTCAACAAATGTCGTTAAAGATGTTTTTCTAAATATCAGATCGATAAATACTCAGTTCAAAGAGATTTCGAATGAGTTTTACTTATTAAAAGGCAATTCATAATGAGGTTTCTAACATAAAACAAATATTTCAGTTATTGTTGCTTTTTAGAAAAAGGTTTCCCAAGTGATACTTGAAGGACTTCCTTTTTATTTTAACTTTCCCGGGAAAACCACCTTTAAAAGCCACAAAAATGTTCTAATGTCAGAGTGTCGTCAAATTTCTGGGAATAATTTTCATTTTCTTTTTAGCTTTTATATTTTCTTTAGTTCTTTGTTTAGGTTACCTTTTAGGTGGTACACTTTTACTCCTTTTGAGCCAGTGCTCCTTTGTTCTAAGTACACACAATGGAATGTATTCCTGGTAGGATAAACACGCTCTTCTCAGGTAGCTGTAACCAGCTACCACTGTACAACAAATATATACTTCGGATGTCCAGTGCAGATGCTCTAAAGCAAATAAATTAAATATTTAGATGCCTTTATACCCAACCGCAAAACAATGAATTTTTAAAATGGCTCGCAATGACTGGGAGATCTGATTCATTTGTCCTAAACGCTGGCCATTCAGTCTTAAAGAAATTCCCCAACTAAAAGCAATTCAATTCCATGAGCTCCAGACCCTTGGAAAATATTTCCCCTCCTCGACAGCTGTCCGATCCAGAGCTATCTCAATTTCCTTGCTGGCAGATTATGGATTTAAAATGCTCTTTTTAATTCGTTTTTGATTGCCCAGCATATTTTTGTGCTTTTGTTTTTGAATTCCATTATTTACGAGATCTTCTCCATTTCGCAGACATTTAATTTGTTTTCATCTGGCGTGTTTTACGGCTCTTCGAATGGCATCGAACGCTGAATCGGAAGTCAGCGTCAAAAATACATGTGTGAGTCACGCTGAGCTTGCCCTGTGACGGAAATCGAAACATGAAGCTCCACTTCCTTGAGCTCCTGCGGTGGCAAATTGCTGGGAAAACTTGGACACTGATAGGCAAATGATGCACATCAAAACGAACGGCGGCGGACTTTGATTGATGACTTATTCACTGTGCGAAGGAGAACGTAAGCTGACAGGCTAATGGCAAGAGCAATTACAATGGAAATGGACAGAAAATCAGGACTCAAACTAACATTTAGACCGGCTGCCCATTTATTGGCTATAAGTTTGGTTTATTATTTGTTTTTCAAGTGCTTTTATATATATATATTTAAACTTAATTCCTTTGTTGCCTTTAAACGAATTTCCCTGACTAATTTCACCCACAAATCGGATTATCTTCTAGTATTATTATTTTTGTTTTCCTTCCATTTTAATTCTACTTTAGTAATTAGTAGAACAAAGCCTTCAGGCGTTTTAATATAGCAGCAATTCCACTTCAAATCAGGCCAAAACGACAGGCACTTGGCAAGGACTTGATGGGTCCTCGCAGCTGGCTGATGGCGAAACCGAAGCTCCTAGAAATCCGATATATATAATGAAATATTCATACACACATTCCCCCCTCTCTTCCTCCTCCTCCTTCTTTTTCTCCAGCTTAACTATCCTTGTATTGTGTCAAATACAAAAGGATTGGGAATCAACACACATGCACATGGCACACGCATACGCGGGCCTGCATGCACTTACACATACACTTACGCAAATGGTAGTTATGAGGGGATGGCAGCCCCCCGGCTGGCTGGAATAATAAGAATAACGAGAACAACGAGCGACAGCAACGACTTGAGGCTGCTTGAAGTCAAGCCAGCACACACCCAAGGAAACTGTCCGCACACACAGGCACAATAGAGGTGAACAAAATAGGAGTTTGCTTAAGAAAAAATAAGATTTAAAGAAGGTAGAGTTGAGTGCGATATGTAGAAATATTTTTATACAGAAAAGACTCCATTACTACATCCCCTAACCCCTCCTGTGCCAGGATGACTTGATGGATATTTAGTGGCACTTCGACCACGACTATGTCCCTGTCTATGGCCATAGCTTTCCTAGTTCCTGGTGCGATAAGCCACCAAGCCGAGGTAGACAAAGCAACGACGACGGCGACAGCAATCGACATCAGCATCGACGTTAAGTGTTTATGGGATGAAACAGGGCCTAATACACATTTTGCGGGCGAGGGAGAGAGGCCGAAGGATTACAACGGCAACTAGGCATAACAATAACACTAACACTTAAGGACAAGGGCCGTACTAGAGCCACCGAATTGGCACAGATATGCGCACTCACAGATGCCATTCCCCCTCAGCCTGCCCCTCTCTCTCTCTCTCTCCAGTTCGAGATGCTGAGACCCGAAATCCCAAAAACCAGAGTGGGTCGCCGGAGTCCCGCTGTGCGGCGACACCGATTGAAAGACTCTCCGCACAGCCGGAGGAGGGCTGGCAACGGGGCCAGCGGATGTGCAGTGCTGCGAGGTCGATATTTGTTTAACCAGCAAGCAGCAACGGAAATTAGGTTACTCCTGGGAGCTGTTACACAACAGGCCGTTCCTCTTCGTAGTCGTGTGTGTGTGTGTTGCTGACAGCAGACATAAATCTCGGCAAATATGCAAGTTGTGCCGCCTCCGGAATGAGCAGCAGGGAGCAGCAGGAGGGCAATGCAACAGGAGAGGCCGGAGATACGAGTAAAGCCTTTGGCCACCTCCACGGAGTGGCCATTCCTCCACAGAGCGGGCCTATTTCCCAACAGATTCCCCAGTATTTGCTTCTTCCGGCTGCTGCCCAGAAAATACCAACACGAACTAATGCGACCAACAGCAACGGGGACACATTCGCCTCACACTGAGACAAAAACGGGAACAGGAAAATATTTATTTACATAACTAAAGCAAAAATGCTTTGAATTTATTTAATTTTTAGGTAAATTAAAAAAGTATAAGACCATTAAAATTATATAAACAGTCGCATATATCATTTATTAAAATAAATATAATAAATAAACACAAACACAAAAAAGTAAATAAATGAAAGCAAACACTCTCCGTCATAATTTTGCTATAATTTCTTCCTGTGCCAACCTCCCAGGACAACAAATCAGTAGCAAAGAGGATAGGAAATCAGAGGAAAAAGCAGGACACAGCCTGAAAGCTGAGTAAACAACAGAGCAACAGCAACAGCAAATAGCCTGCACATTCAATTTAAAATTTCCTGTGCTGCAAATGCAAGGACACCCACACCCTCAGGAATGGCAGGGAGCAAGACAAAACTGATGGAATGACAAACAGGAGACACACTGGGCAAGGAGCACACAGGAAATCCGCTTCCGCCTCGACAAGTGGCGGCCACTCCTCCCCCTAAAAGCCGCCACACAAAGTTGCAATATGAAGCGCAGTTTGCGCCAACTTCCGGTTTCCCCTGCAGGCCCACTCAGGACCCCCCACCTAACAACAAAGGACACATCAGCACAGTCAAGTTTAGCGGCCGCATGCAAAATTCAAATTGACATAAACACCGAGACGAGCGCTTGATTGTGCGGCTTGTGTGACTTGTGACTGTTGCTGGCTATAAAAAGTGTGCGCCACTCATCCATCCCAGCCATCCATCTATCCGCCGCGCCGCCGGCCGCCTCTATCCACCATACGCCGTGTGGTACCAGTACCAGGAGTAACAACACGGCAAATGACACATACAGGGGGTCTTGAGTTATGGGGAAGCTTGTACAGCGTGTACGAAAATTCGTCGTCTTTACAGGATGGTTTTAATAGGGGTTAGTCTATCTACTTTTCAATTACATTTTTGTGATTTACCAACATTAAATTAAGACAATTTGTAATAAATAATTAGGTTTTCCATAAGCAACATAAACTAAATATGTACAGGCACGGGCATTACAATTTCATATTTTAAGATATCATTTTGAAAGTTTTACATATTTACATACATTGCCAACTTGATGATTAATTTCAAACTAAACGTACAACATTCGGTCATCGAAACTCACTTTAAATATTAACAAAATAATATATTTTATTAATTTTCAAATCAATTGCTAGTTCGATTTGCAGAATTATGACTGTGTCGCAATGGGGGGTCAGGCCATGAGGCAGGGGCACAAGCCACACGACTCCCATTCCGCGTGCCCACGGTTTCGAGTATTTCTCGAATGTGTGACGCAGAAAGGTGACTGAAGTTTGTTATTTCGATTTTCCCTCCCAACAAACCAACACGGCCAACCAGCAAACCAGCAAACCAAGCGATCGGAAGGCTGTGGCGTTTGGGGGGCATTATTATTATGGCTACTCACAGATCCTCGGGGTGCCGTCACTTGCACCGGTGCCCTGCAATTGTCTCCGCGAATATACGCTTTCGCTGGTTATTTTTAGAGCCCTAATGCCGCCGTACCGAGAAGCAGCAATTATCTGCGCGGATATCTATCTGTCTATCTTCTAGATGGCGTATCTTGTGCCAGCCTGCTACTTGTGGATTCTTTGTTTGTGGCTCGGCTTCTGGTTCTCCTTTTCCTTTTGTCGGGTTATGAATTGCTCAGGTATTACTCATTCGATGTTAATTTAAAAATTTCGTTGATTCGATTATTGTTTATAGTTAGGATTGGGTTAGGCCCGCACGGTCTCTCTCTCTTTTCTCTGTGTTTCGCGGGGGAGACGGGGCGGCGTAGGTTAATTTGGTCTATTCTATTCTAGTTTTGTTTTCTCGCGCGCGCGTTTCGCGTTCGTTTCGTTTGCGTTGTTGGTTCGTTTCACACTGACTGTGGAAAGTCACTGAATTTTCCGCTCTGGCGAGAAAATTCTGAAAGTTGGGGGGGGGTCCATTTTTTTGTGTATTATTTCGGCAAGCGGACGTCTTGCTCTCCGCTGCTGCTGTTGCTGCTGCACTTTCCGAGAGTCTGAGGTGAGCGTATGGTTAGAGAACTTCTCCCTCGTCATCGCACCTCAATGTTGCCAGACCGCTGCCAGTGGGCCAATGTGGCGTATGCGTAATGCGGGTTTTCCACTCTGAAGCGCCAAGTGTTCATTTGTTGTCTGTTTGCCAACCTTAATTGCCTACGACGAGTCCCGGAGGAGATTAAGTTACGGCCTATGTGGGTTCGTAGCCCACTAAAAACGATGATCCCTGGCTAACTTTCCACTTTGTGGGATTACAGGAAATTCCTTGATTGCCGCGGAAATACACAAAAATCACAACCTGCCCAGTGCGCATTTGAAAAAGTTTCGGCATTAAAATCTAGCTGCTTCGTGTCCATGTTTAACCTTCAGTGGCCACGCATTGGACCTTGAATTAGAAATTAATTAGAGTCGGAAGTGGAGGGCAGTGGCAGGACACGACCGCTCAAGGACTTGCCATCGCCCTCGCAATCGTGTGTCCCTGTGCTTGTGCGGCATCTACAGGTAGCCGCAGCAACGACACCCACAATCCTCGAGCCCTCGAGCCCGCCATTGTTTCGATTTTCTAACGAAATCGAAACTCTACACGCTGACGCGAGCCAAGTAAAAAAACATACTGGGAAAGAGAGAGAGAGCAAGCGACTCGGCGGAAAATCGTGGGGTTTTCCCCATGGCAAGGGGTGCTGTAAGAGTAGGGGGATAAAGTCACACATACTGCGCTTCGGGAAATGCATTCCACATCTCCAGAGTCAGGCTGCTGCATCCTTGATGCCGCTGCAAATGGCCCGTCAAAGTGCTCGAAAGTGGAAACTTTTTGCTGGCGAAACAACTCCGTCGTCGTCCACGTCGTCGTCTAAAACTGCCTCAAAACTTTCCAGCTTTCGTTTTGGGTAAATAATTCATGGCGAATATATTTTTAAGCACACAAACACACCAGTAGCACTCACGCACATACACACAGTCGCGTAACCAAAACAAGCTCGAAACCAGAGAAAAATCCTCACGATTTTCCGGGTTCTTCCCGCTGCGACCAAGGACGAGCACTCGCCTCGACTGTCCTGTGGCAACTGAGCCCGATTGCACTGCCTGTCATACGCTCGCTCTCTCTCTCTCTCTCTGTCTTCCCTTGCTCCTTGCTTCTGGCTAATGGCTCCTGACCACCCATTTTCCCACCCGGTGACCAAGTTTTCCTCGGCTGGCGCTCGGCTCTCGTGAGCCGAAGAGTCCTCTTCGTGTATGGCAGCATGTAGGCCACAACAGAAACGAGCCTCCTTTTTATTGAATTTTTGAGCACACGCACGACACGAAATCCTTTGGCCTCCTCTGGTGCCTCATTCCACCTAGGAGAGCTTTCCCGGAGGCGGAAAAGGGGGTGAACAGAAAACTGAAAGCAGGTCCGTATGCTTGCGGTAAATTGCAGGGCAGCAAAGTTGTAAACAAATCATTAAAGTGCTGGAAATAACTGGGGGTGGCGGCGGCGGCGGCGGACAACTGTCAGGCGCAGCGGTTTCACAGTCGGCTTGAGTCCTGGCAGAAGGATTCAAGAAGTGTGAGCGTATTTTTGGGGCAGGCTCTGAGCTTTTGGAAGCTTTTCCTAACGTGCGTATGAATAATCTCATTTCGGATGACCGTTAACCCCTCGTCGAAGTGTCAAAAACGGTTAAGATGCGTTGTTAAGAAGGCATTTTTTAAGGAATCAAGACATTAAATATTTTAAACGGTATGTATGCCCTTGTTGTGGAGGGTATTATTATGATTGTAAGAAGTCTGTGATATAAAGAATAATATTTTATTTTAATGCTATAGTTGTTTCATAACAGAATCGCTTTTTGAAGACAACTGCTGGACAGATTCTCATAATATTGATTTAAAACCATTTTACAAAGTGTCCAAAAGTATGCAATTAAATATTTTGGGTCAAACAAATCACTGCTAAATCCTTAAAGATTAAAAACTTAAAGATTTTTAAATATTTTCCTAAAAAATTAAATATTTCAGTAAAGTATTTAACACGAATATTTTTTATAATTAATTTCAATCGTTTTTTAACAATATTTTCGTTAAAAATTCGTTCCATATTCTCACCGGAAGTAGCCATCTCCATCTGTCGGACAGCCCCTGAAACTTTTTCAAATGCTCGTATTCGCACTAAAGCTCGTCTATCTAATTTAAACCATCGCCTAGCAGAGAGAAAACGTAAACAAATGTTGGAAAGGCAACAATAGCAAAAACAAACAAAGCCAAATTGAGAGAGCAGAGCTTTTTTGCAACAACAAATGATTATTGTTTACTCGCTTTTGGTTGTTGATTCTGAGAGCGGCAGCTGCGACTTTCTTGAGTCTCTGTGTGTGTACAGCGCTGAGTAAGCAACTGTCGCTGTTTCAATGTTCGCTGAGAGTTAGAGCAGGCAAAAAGGGAAACAGATGCACAGTGGTCGCAGTGCATTGCAGAGCAGGTATATTTTCAGGTAGCAAAAATTATTTTTGCTCACAATGTTGCTTTACCTTCGGGGTTACCTTTCGTGGATTACAACAGGGTGAGTAAGCAACAGAGAGAAAGAAGATAATTAAATGTAATGTGTAAACTATGACAACATCTTTAAGTAGTTTCAAGCTGTATTTTTCAATCTTTAATTATTAAGACATTACTCAAGATGAGGAAAATGCTAAAACAAATAAAGAATTACATGGTTTTAGGAGTTCTAATACAATAAATTTAATTATTTGTGATTTTGTGTTGGAGATCTATTCAAAATATCCCTTTTATAAATGACAAAGTATAATAATTACATAACCATAAATAATATAAAATCATTGAGGATTGCTTAAACCAGAAATGGATAAAGTAGCGAAATTTTAAATCGTCGTATAATATCTTTAACTTCCTAGATTGTTTAGATATGGATTATGGAATACTTTATTTTTTTACAATTTAAATTCTTATTATTATTGTTATTATAATTATTTTTTTTATAGGAAAGTTCGGTAAGAAAGATTTATTATTCAAGATATACAAACAACACTTTTAACAAACAATTTAAAAAAAAGTGTCAAACTGTTTGTATCAGTAAATGTCCTGGAACCGATCTCGCTCTCTGGCTGCGATCCTTTTTCAGGGTGACTTTTAGTGACAATTCGCCGCGTTTCACAGTGCAACTTGAAAACTACAAAAATTGTTTGCCTGTGCTGTGTGTTTCCTCCACTCCCCTGCTGGCTGGTTCCACTGTCTCGCATCTGTTTCCTTGCATTTTGTACCGCGCAGTTGCCGTTGCTCTGGCCCTCGTATTGTTTGTATTATTTGTTGTTCGTTCGGAGCAACAAAAGGCAGCCAGCTGTGTGAGTGAGTTGTATCTGTGTGCCAGAGAGAGAGCGGGGCTTGTTGTTCTCTGTTTGCTCGCCGTTCGCTCGCTCATGTGTCGCCTTGTTGTTGCCTCAGCGTTCTACGTAGCCGATAGATACTTTCAGCTCTCGCCTCTCTCTGCAGCTGTATCTGTATCCCAGTATCTGTGTGTGTTTAGTCGCCTCGGTCGCTTGGAACGCGAGACATACGACATCGCAACAACTGGCCAACACAATCTAACAGTCCGCCGCCGATTCCCGAGCCCCGAGCACAGCGCACACCGCCAACCGACACCACGCAACACTCAGGCGGAATCAACATTTTTGTACGTTACGTCAGTCGCTCAAGTTGTCGTTGTTGTTAGTGTCGTTGTCATTGCAGTCGCGGCAGTAAAAATAATTTTTGGCGCCGTTTTTTTGCTGTGTCGCGTTTTGAAATCGCTCTAAAAACAAGCTGCCTGCCAGTCTTGGTGTTTTGAAATCGCCTGCCAACAAGGAGTTGCAGTTGCAGTCGTCAAATCGTCCCAGAACAAGGAATACGCGTTTTAAAACCTCGTGAAACACAAGATATGCCATAACTGGAGTTTCGAAATAGCCTATTTAAAACCACCGGAGTTTTAAAACATCTCAAAACCATCTGTAAAAACTACACTCGAGCAAGGAATACGAGTTTTATATCATCAAAAAGTTCTAAAATATTACAAATCACGGAATTTCGAGTTGGTGGTGTTTTGGAATCGATTCCAAAAACGTCAGGAGCTCTCAAAACTCCTGCTGCAGTCACACACAGCCCTGCAATCGTCGCTGACAAAGGTAACTCATCTTTAAATAACAAAACAATACTCCTACATAGTGATTCAATCTTTTTAAACAACATCGCACTAACTGTTCTAAAACAGCAACAAAATAATACCCAGCGATAAGCACCAACAGCGTTCAAATCGCCAGCTAGAAAAATTCTATATGCCATATTGTTGCCCTGTGTGTGTGTATGTGTGTCTATTGTTGCTGTTGTTCTATCTAACAAAGTTATTGCTTTTGTTGTTGCTGTCATTGGGCCATGGAGCAATATACAATATGTAGAGAAGGTGGTAGGATCGCGGGGGGAGTGCAGAGCGAGCGCCGGGGATTTCTGCAAGTTTTCTGTCTGTTTTGTTAGCTTTAGAAATAAATTCTTTCTTTTTTTTCTGTTTTTTTGTTTTTGTGTTTTCGGTTGGGTTTTGTGTTTTGTGCTGTGTTTCTGTGTGTTTCGGCGGCTGCCTTCTTGTTTTTGTACGTTGCTGTACTTTTTTTTATTTGATTTGTTTTTGTTTTTTGATTTTTTGTGCCCCGTTGTTAATATATAAACATGAACATTTCTCGAAGTATAAGTACAAAAACACACAGGCGAAACGCTCATGCTGATATGTTTATGTTAAATAGACGTAATACAATAAATATTGCTATAGCCAGGTTTATTTTTTTTTTTTTTCTTGCTGATTTCGCTGCTGTTTGCTTTCCCCGCCCCCGCCCATTTTGTACATAGCAATCCAACGAAACATTAACAAAAACAACAACGGGCAGAACCAAAACACGCGCACAACGTTCGCTGCGATAATGATAATGATGTTCGTTGCTAATAATGATGACGGGCAGAAACAACACAACAATTCTGAGAGCGCACAGTGGGCTGAAACTGTAGAATAAAAAAAAAAGTTTAGCTATGGGCTATGAAACTATGTAATTTTCATTTCAAAAAATTTCAAAATGTAAAAAAATATATATATATATTTATTTGTTTTCTAATTTATGAAGATTTCTGTGACACCTCTCAATGTATTGTGTCGCGTGATTGGACTCCTTAAAACGCTGCCAATCTAGCCAGCTTGTTTACGTTTGTAATCAGCTTTCCATAAAAATTCTGATTAAATCCGATAATGATTAAACGATTCGCCTTAAATCAATCACAATCGCTTTTAGTTATTATACTTTTACATCAGTATACAATCATGAAACACAATATCCAGAATCGGTATTAACATGTGTATAAACTATTTTAAATAATAATATCAAGAAAAAAAATGCTATATTATTCTATATTATTCCACTGATAAAATTAATTAATAATAATTCAATTCGGTTTAAAAGAACTTAAATATCAATTATTATTATTCGAGACAATAGGGAATTAAGCAAATGGACACCCATTTCTTAGAAAATCACTCTGTTAAACAAAAAGTATAAAAACAAAAAACTAGTTTTCAATGTAAAAATATTATTCGATTTTATTTGAATTTATTTTCACAGGAATTTTTGATAAATATTTTATTTGAACTTGTTTTGTGTACTTGCCTAACTTCAAGTTAGTGATTCTGAACACTGACTGTTGGGACATCTCTACAGTTCCATTTTCTCCCACTTTCGTCCCACTTTGCGCACGTTTTTCGCCGTGCCAAACTGGTGGGCTCAGCGCAAGGTGCTGAAAGTGGCGGGAAAACTTTTTGTGGAGATTCAGGAGAGGCCCGAAATCGAAGTCGAGTGGAAGAGCATGGTGAGGAGCGGGGGGGATAAGCCGAGTTTCGAGTGAGTGGACATGTGAGTGGGCTGATTATAATCAAAACAGGTAGTCGCAGGTGCGAGAGCCATTCATTTTGGGTGAGTTTAAACGTAGTGAGTGACTGAGTGAGTACTTGCAGACACTCACATTCGCTGACACTGTTGCGGTGCATTTACTTAACATGTTTTTCGTTGCTGCTACACTGTTGTTGCTGTTATCAGCTTTCAGCCTGGTCGATTAAAATACAACACCAGCAGCAACAAAAAGCGGAAAGAACTTAAAAAACTACAGCAAACAGCACACAAACATCCAAATTGCCTGTTATTTTTATGGCCGCCATTGCCAGCTATTGTTGTTGTTGTTGCCGTAGCTATAATAATATGAAAAGTAAACAAAGTTGCTGCGTCGTCGTCGTCGACGTTGTCAACATCAACTCACAACGTCGCAATGTCGCCGCTTTCCAGCTCGCAAAACTGTACTGAAACCGAAATAATAATGGCAACCAACTACAACAAGTCGGCCGCAATGTTTTATTAAGTTTCACAAAATGTATATGATGAAAAAGCTCTATCGCCCGCCGCCTGCTGAGACAGCAACAGAAACAGCACAGAATAAAAACCGAAACCGAAACAGAAACAGAGACCAACACTAACAAGTGACACGGGCACGAGAAAACGAAAAGAAAAGCTAACGAACGAACAAAAAATAAAATAAATAAAACCCAGAACAAAAAGCGAAAAAGCTGAAAAAAAAATCGCTGAGAATTCGCTTTGTTTGTCAGCCCCGTAAATAAATAGGAAAAGGGATAGGAGAGTCTAGAAATCAAATATAGGAACAGGGGGGCGGGTGCTTAGTTTGAGGTGAGGAAACTGCACGTTTATATTGGCGAATTTATTAAAAAAAGGCTTAAGTTAAAATAATAATAAAAAACTATTAGCAAAGTATCTTTAAATTGATAATATTACCCTTTGGCTAAGACTTTTAAGAAGAAACCGGAAGTGATTTGAAACCATTTTGAAATATGGCCTAAAAGTATGCAGCAAAATATTACAAAAAATTTGTTTGCTTGTATATTGGTACTATTCAGATTGGCTGCACAATCAATTTTCTACTCATCTCTTATTATCTGATAACAATTTGTAGTAGAATGTCCAAAAATAATAAAATAATAATCACATAAATGAAATATATTCATAGTATCCTTCCCACCATCGAGTAGATTTAGGAAAAAAGATTTCAATTAAAAAGGCCGATTTAAAATAGAGTTAGATCTATATTTCTCAAAACCCACTATTAACCAGCCAAATCTATAAGTAATTTATTATCTATATATACAAAAATCAATGACGTTTCTTTGTAATTTTATAATTCAAGAAGGGGCACACCTTACCAAACCATATGGTTAGGATTTGTTTGGACTATTTAGTATATTGTTACGTTATTACGTTTTTTGTTGTAAATGATTTCAATTTCGTAATGTTGCCTTTGCTATCAGTGTCATCTGTCATTTATAATTATTGCTTTGGGTTTATAGTTTTTTAAACATATTGTTAAGTGCTGGTGAGTCTAGAATTGTGAGTGTACTTTTCTCATTTTCTCCTTTTCATATGAAGAAGAAATGCCACGACCTAGACGATCAAATATAGGTAGACGTACGCGTCATACTAATTATGTGGCTTTACGAAGACGAGCACAGAAAGCAGATAAAGGTAATGGACGATCTGTTGATCCTGTACCTGTATTGAATCTTCCACGGCGATCGTGCTGTAGACATAGGTTTAAAATCATATATTAACATAAATATTTCTCAAACCCTAGCATTGAGCCTCTAGTTTAAAAATATTTATTAATTATCTAAGTTAAACATCAAAATAAATAATTAATAACAATAAATAAATAGTACTTAATAGGCAATCTCCTCTTTCTTTTCAGGCTGCAAAATAGAACCTAGAAAATCGCCATCGAATATGACAACCTCAACGCACAGCAGTAGCAATACGAATAGCAACAATACCGCCCACCACGAGAGCGAGGATCGAGCCACTGCCGCCAGCACCACCTACACCCACCACAGTCCGACAGGATCGGGATCCGGGGTCTCTATCGGTTCCACAAATCGCGTGATGCAGGCGGATGAGGACTTTAACATTCGCTTTGTCAACCTGGTGCGCAACCACAAATGTATCTACGATAAAAAGGTGCCAGAGTACCGCAACAGGTGAGTGGGAAATCCCTCCGAGATTTTGCTATCTCTAACTGAACTCAACCTTTTTTTACAGGGACAACCAGGAAAAGGCCTGGGTGCTAATATCCAAGGAAACCAGAGAGAGTGGTAAGTGTTAATAAGATTTCTCCAACTAAAAGCAGTACTAAATGAAGGAATTGTATCCCCTTAATAGTTATCCACTGCAAGGAGCGATGGCGCAACCTGCGCGCCTGCCTCTCCCGTTACATCAAGCAGCAGTCGGGAGCGGAGCCGCAGCACAAGCCCTACTATCTGACCGAGCACATGGCCTTCCTGCTGCCCTTCCTCAAGTCCACCCGCAATTCCCTGGAGGGCAACACTAGCCTGGCGGCGCTGTACCAGTTATCCCAACAGCAACTACACGGCCATCCGCAGCATCTGCTCCACCCGGCCATCCATGGCCACGATGAGAGCATATACTGCTCCCCCACCAACATCAATCATAATAATAACAACAATAACAACATCAGCACTGGGGAGGTGTTGGAACTAAAGGAGGAGCAGGTGCTGGAGATGAAGCACTCGATATCGGAGAATGGGGACGACGAGGAGACCATTGACGCCTTCGATCCAGCGGTGGCCAATGCCCTTGGCATAAAGCATGCACCGACCACGTCCACGATTAGCATTGCCCAGGTGACGGGAGGAGCCGGAGGAAGATCGCCGGCCAGGAGTGATACGGCCAGTGCGGACAGCATGCAGAACTTCATTCCGGACGTGCAGTTGGCCGAGACCGGGTCGCAGCTTATGTACAATGATGAGGGTCGTGGCACACCGCCGCCCTTGCATTATCACCCGCACATGCTTCCTAATCCCATGGCCATGGGTATGGAACACCGTCAGTCGTCCTTCGAACCGACGAGTGCCAAGAGGATAAAGACGGAGTGCGAGGCCACCAGTACTATGACGAATGGTGGCAGCTTCTATGGCGGGCTGACCGTCTCGGAGATGGCTGACATGGAGTTCTTCCGCAGCATTCTTCCCGACCTGGCGGCTCTGACTCCCCAGCAGCGTCGCAAGTTCAAGATTGGCATCCTCGAGCTGATCGATGATGTGGTAACGCGGTATCCTCCAGCTCCGGACCGATGTAACGGAGGAGGTGTCAACGGCAGTGGCAGCAACGGGGTGTCCTCCGTAAGGCAGTCAAGACGCAGCACCGGTCGGGAGTGGCGAAAGCAGTGAAGGGGGACTGGGGAGAAGGAGCGGAAAGTCACTAATCCTTAACTAGAAATATGATAAGTTAGTTAGCTGCTTAAGGGGGCACTGGAGACGGGATAAGGTGCTCCTACTGCTGGTGTCTCTCGACCAACTCCAGTCCGCTCACTGTCCAAGTGTTGTGTGCGCTCAATAGGATGCGTAAGTAGGGTTGCTAGGGTTTCCACTTCCGAAATTTTAATTTGATTTATCATTTATTTGAAAGTTTAAATTGAAAGTGAAATCAGATATATTTTGAGGAAGTGCTAACCTGATCAGTCCTTCTAAGCCATTAAGCTCAAAAGGAACTTGAACCGAAAGAAAAGAATACAGAACCTAATTGTGCATGCAGTAAATTTGCAAATAAAATTATTTACAAATTTATTGAATGCAGAAACTGGTTCTCAACTTGTCAAGTTCGCCTAGAGCATAATTTATCTATGATTAAGAAATCTGTATATATGTCTAAACTATAGAATCGATGTACAAAGCTGTTCCAATTTAAATCAAAGAATAAGATATAAAGGGAAGGAATGAAGAAAGTCAAACTGCTGTGTCAAATAATAAACAAACAAGAGAGTTTGGAAAATTACTCGGTAAACTTTAATTTAAAATCGCGACAACATCATCATATGTAGGGTCTTTCGCAGGGGCCACGCCCCGTCTAGGCTAGCTCTCCCCGCTTAGAGAAATGCACAGGGACGAATGGCCCGTTCCTGTCTTCGCACTAAAAGCTAAATTTCGTTGGCTGGATAGGATCTACAACTTCGAGGCGCCAGCCTTGGGGTAAAACTTCTTCGTCGGGTCCTTGGCCATGTCGAGCAGGGTCTGTGACGGCTTGAAGGGTGCTCCGTACAGCTCGGCGTACGACTGCATCTTGCTGACGAGCTTGCCGGCTCCGTACTGATCGACCCAGCGGAAGGGGCCGCCGGAGAATGGCGGGAAGCCCAGGCCGAAGACAGCGCCCACATCGCCCTCCAGCGGGCTGTCTAGGATCTTCTCCTCCAGACACAGGACTGCCTCGTTGACGAAACGCGATACCAAGCGCAGGGTCAGATCCTCGGGCGTGTTGGCACCCTTGGAAACCAGGGAGTACTTCTGCTTGACGATCTCCAAGGCATCATTGTTCACCGGACGGCTGCCTCGTGTCTGGCCATCATACAGGAAAATGCCTTTTCCAGACTTGCGTCCCAAGAAACCGGCCAACACCAGGTCGTTCATCACCTGTAGATTTCCGCCGCTCAAGCGCTCGCCGAATGCCTTTGCCAAATCAGCGGCAATGTGCGAGCCCACATCAATGCCGACCTCATCGGCAAGGGTGGCGGCACCCACGGGGAATCCAAACTTCTTGGTGAACTGGTCCAGATCCTTGGGGTCCACGCCCTCCTGCAGCAGTCTGAAAGGACGAGACATTTCATTAAGGCTCTAAGGATGGAGTGAGTATTGAGTAACCAACCTTATGGCCTCCGACAGCATGCTGGCGAGGATGCGGGTGGTGTAAAAGCCGGGGCCATCGCCCACGGTGATGACTACCTTGCCCTGCTTAAGACCCACGGCCACAGCCTGGGCCACGGTGTCCTTGGAGGTGCCCGGATGGGTGATGATCTCCAGCAGTTGCATTTTGTCCACGGGTGAGAAATAGTGCATGCCAACAACCTTATCGGGACGGGAGCTACCCGCGGCGATTTTGGTGATGGGAATGGCGCTGGTATTGGTGGCAATGACGCAATGTTCCGGGACAACAGCCTCCAACTCCTTGATCACACGGTGCTTCACGTTAATGTCCTCGAACACAGCCTCAATGATGATGTCTGCGTTCTTAAAGTCGCTGTAATCCAGAGTGGGTCGCAGGTTGGCCAGAGTTTGGTCGCGCTCCAATCCGCTGATCCTCTTGCGCTTGACGGCCGTCTCCAGACCCTTCTGCACCTGACCAATGCCGCGAGCCAGGCCCGCATCGGTGGCATCCTTCATCACCACCTGGTAGCCCTTGTCCACCGACACTTGAACGATACCAGCGCCCATGAGGCCGGCACCCAGTACACCCACGGTCTTAACCTGACGCTGGGGCTTGCCAAAGCGGTTCTTTTTGCACTCGGTCTGGCCACGGAACAGTGAGATCAGACCCTTGGACTCGGGCGTGGCCGACAGCTCGCCGAAACCCTTGCGCTCTGCCTCGTAGCCCGCATCCGAACCCTTATCCACGCCAGCACGGACCACATCAAGGATCTGTTGGGAATTCAAGGTTAACTAAAAGCTATAGAAAGTGTTGGCTTTTAAACTAACCTTAAGGGGAGCGGGATAGAGGCCATTGGAGGCCTTGAGCACCTGCTTCTTAGCAGTCTCAAAGATCTTGTTCTTTACAAAGTCTGTATCCATGAGAAAAGACTGGATCTTGTTGACCAAACCGCTCTTTTCGCGGTTGACCTGTAGAAGAAATGAGATAAGAACAAAAATTGATTATCTGCTGGGATCAACGGTTTAAACAACTATTATAAATAATAAATTTCTATAAAATTTAAAATCATAATTAGTTTCTTACGCGAATTTTGCCACTGGCCAGATCCTTGGCCACCTGAATGGCTGTCTTCTCGAGGTATTCGATGGTGTTCTGATCTGCGGGCTGCAGTCCCGGGCCAAGGGGATCCACTAGCAGATCAACAATGCCCAGACGCTTGGCACGATCAGCGCGCACCTGCTTGCCTGTCAGGCCCAAATCCAAGGCCGTCGGCACAGAGGTGAGCTTGGGCAGGCGGACAGTGCCACCGCCGCCGGGCAGGAGGCCCAGCATGACCTCGGGCAGACCCAACTTGGTCTTGCTGTCCTTGGTGGCAATGCGGTAATGGCAGGCCAGCGCCAGTTCCAGTCCTCCGCCCAGACACACGCCGTTAATAGCGGCCACAATGGGTTTGCGGCTGCGCTCCATCCGGTCGAACATAAGTTGGGCGCCGTGCGAGATCAGTGTGGCCTCCTCCGCCGTCTGGCAGGCCTCCAACATCCCAATGTCGGCTCCGGCGACAAAGCATCCTGGCTTGCCCGAGATTAGCACCGCCGAATTGACGGCACTGTTTGTCTCCAGATCCTTGATCACGCGCTCGAACTCGTCGCTGACCTCAGAGCCCAGCGAGTTGACCTTGGCATTGGGCGAATCGATGCGGATGACCAGGACGCCGTTGACCACTTTGGTGTGCAGATGCTTGTTGGCAGCGGCAGCAGCGGCTGCCGGAGCGGGATTCGTGGACATGAGACGGCGGGTCGAGACGGGCAGAGCTGTGAAGGGTTCAAATCTACTTTATTATCTCACTACAAGTGGAAATCGACAAAAAAAAAAACTTGGAAAGCAGAAAGGCAGCGAGACAGAGACAGCAGACGAGTGGCGACGTCAAGAGAGAGTACAAAGTGCAAAGTCCATTTATGCGGCGTCGGCGAGGAAGAATCGATGAGAGCCCAGACAGGTACCGAAAGAGTAACCACTATCTGGGGGGGACAAGCTCCACGATTCTCGCCCGGATTCCGGACTGCCGTTCCCTTAAATTCTGTAAAATCCCGAATAGTACCTACCTCTAGTGCACCTATTCTGCAGCAGTTGCTGTCGCGAAAGTTGGCCAACAGCACTCAGGAATCTCGTTGCCGACATAATTCGTTGTCTATCTTCAGCTCGTTCACTTTTCGCTTAATAATAGTGTTCAAATGAACCTTGCCCAGGCGCCGTTAGTTATGTGTTCGCGTTGGTGATATAAAAAACGATGCGGCAATTGTTCAACTTGTTGCACATCAGGGCTGGAGATATTTGAAGACAACTTATCGATATATCGATTTTGTTGCAATCGATGAACGGATTTCCGCCTCCACGGCAGCTGGTCACACTTGCATAGGAAATAAAATTGCGGTATAAACAAAAAGTTGCAAATAAGCTTAGTAACAGCATCATCGAAATCTTTGAACATTTTGAGAACAATATAATTATGTCCCCACAGTCGTGTGTAAGTGTTTATGTTTTCCCAAAAACTGTAAGCTAAGTTAGTTCTAGTTTCTAGTTCTAGTTTATAAACACAAAAAACATTTTCGCTATTTCTGATAACAGTAGCTTAGATTTAACATTAAATTAATTTACTTACAGCTTGCTCAATCGCCTCTGGTGTCCTTGCCAGACGATGTCCTGATCCATATTCTCAAGCAACTATGTCTGCAGACTCAATTGAATTTGACGCGCGTGCACATACGGTTCCTGCGGATAATGCCCCATGTATGGCGATCCCAGTGCAAAATCATTAATTTCTCATCGATAAAATTACCTTTACGGGATGACGATCTCCGCTTTTTCCTGGCAAGCAATCAGCAGACCTTTGAGGTTGTCATTTTGAAATATTACCATGTATTTAACATGCTCACTGATTACGTTTTCCCAAATATCCATGACCTTGTCCTGGGATCACATTTAAAAAACTTTTGTGTGCACAAAGCTATTAAAAACTTCCCCAATCTAAGAAGCTTTACTCCAATTGGCGGCTTCACTGGCGAACAGTTTGAAAACTTTATCCATCTGGAGAGCCTAACATTGACCTTCTGTGAGTCATTCGAAAAAAGAAACTTGCTTCCCATCCTGGAGGCGTGCAAGCTGAAGACTCTTAAGCTGGGAAGATTTAACAATATGTTCCACCAGGAAATGGATCTACCTTTCGAAGGAATACAATTCCTCGAAGTGCTAAAGTGCAACCAATGGGAAATGAAGTGGTTTATGAAAGATCTTAAGAATTTAGCGCGTCTAAAGCATATTATTTTATGCGGCAAGTTTGATGATCGTTTTATTAAAGACGTCCTTACAGAAGTTGCTGAGAAAAGCATAAAATCTGTAGAGTTCAATGATGAGGTCACTAATTTTATGTTCATAATGGACAACCTCAATGGCAGAATTCAATCTGTAAAAGTGTTGGACAACTGGTTACTTTTTGATGGCGGATACGGAAACTTGAAAGCCATTAAGGAATTATATTTAAAAAAATGTTCAACAGATGACGTTCATGTTTTGGATACTTTGTTTTCTTTAAAGTTCTGCGAAACTCTTGTGATAGAACATTTTACATCTGAACAAATATTTGAATACACACTTGATACGTGCAGGATTGCTAGAGGACGTCGCACAAAGCTTCATGTATATTTGTATAAAAACAAATTTGAGGAAAAACTAACTAATAGTTGGAAGCAAATTCCAATAAACTGGAAAATCATGGGAAAACACCCGTTGGTCGAGGTGCACTTGGAACAAAAGCCGAATATAAGTTACAGCTTTGACCCTTTTTCAATATTTTTTGATTTAACTTAAAACAAGATACAAATGATTAACAAGATACAAATGATGGCTAAAAGCCTCCAACAGCAGCAGTAAACTATATCTGAAGACAACTGAGCCTTTATTCAAAGTTTTCTATAGAAAATGGCGTTTATTTTTAAGTTCTGAATAAATATATGTTAAATATATGTTTAATTTGTTGTGTTTTATGTGAAAAGGTTTCAGAAGTTATATTATTTATGATTTATTTAAATCATAAATACAAATAAATCTAAAATAGGAAGATACTTAAAATTAAGAAATCATGAAGAACTAATTTTCAAAAAGATTAAGTCTATTAAAATAAAAAAAGTTTAATATTCCAGAAGTAGTTCTTTTTTGTAAAGAAATGTTTTTTAAAAATTTGCCCTGTCAGGTAAAAAAAAAATATTTATCAGTTTTTTTGTCAAAAAATAAAAGCGAATTTGGTGTGTTGCCTCTGTGCCTCTGTGCCGTACCATTGTTCGTGGGCATTTTCCACGCTGACCCACCCTGGCAAAGGATGTTGTTGTTGTCATAAAGGAGGCCGCAGCACAATTTGCGGGACACGCATGTCACTCGCATTTTTCAGGTCGTTTCCTCGGATCGAAGTGCAGGAGAGGACTCATTGAAGCCGCATTAAGCGCGCCTCATTTGCTGCGAGGCCAGGCTCCTTTGATGCTGCTTTGTCCCCTCAAGTGGCCACTCCTAAATAGGTTCGGATGGATTTCGATTTCGCCACATGATTGTGTTCGGTATTATTGTGGCAACACACGCCTTTGTGGCATGCACCATATATTAAATAGTTAATAGTTGTTGCCCCTAGCTGCAGCTGCGGCCTTGATTTATCCACTGATCCGTCAATGATGTGTGAAGAGTCAACCGAGTCACACTCGAGTCTGTCAGCGTCGAAGGTCCTGTCAGTCAAATCCTGCTGGTAGCCTAGGTCTGACCTCTTAGCCTTTCGCGGGAAGAAGGCTTTCTGTCTTTTTGGGATCATATGTTGGGTTTATTTATATATATTTACTTCAATATATATCTTTTTTATTTTAATAACTGCACACAAATATTGAACATTCATTGGTATTTCTTATATATGTATCCCTGTAGTTAGTAAAAGAATCAATACAGTCTGGCTATCTCTGATATCTCCCCTATAATTTCCTTCTATTATTCCCTCATAAATAAAAAAAAAAAGAAAATTCAGTAACAAATCTATAATTAATAAACAACTTTCTGCAAATGCCTGGGTTGGCTATACAGGATTATACGAAGTCCAGGTCGGAGTCACTGTCCAGCAGGGAAATGGTTATGTCTAGTTCTTCGACTACTTCGACATCTTCGTCGCGGAGCTCCTGTCCTGACACCCATCCTCGTGGAGCTTCGGTTGGTTGCTCTTCTTGATTGAGATTTGGTCTTGTCCCCTCGGAAAACTTCCCTGAGTGGCATTCATTGGCAGCGTGCAAAATGCGATCCATAAAACGGTCGAATAGACATTCTGCCTGCTTAGAGAGGGGGGTAGATGTGACCGCCCCGTTTCGGCGTGGAGGTCTGCTCCTAGGAGTTACACCACTTCCCGCAGCTACTCCATTTAGCGAAGGGCTCTGTCCTGTGGAACGTAATATTGTGCTTAGCGGCATTACTGCTATTAAAGTCCGTCTTACCACTTCTCAGGCTGGCCAGCTCCGCCCTTCGTTCCTGCCCCATCTGTTCCAACTCGGCATTTCGAGCCGCAATTGCCGCCTCTTTGCGAAGGCGAATCCTTTCACTCCTTCTGACTGGTTGCGTTTGATTCTTATTTTTGCGGGGCGGCATTTGTTAAAATTATATAATAATAAACAAATAAAAATTAACGTAACAAATTTGAAAATATTTGCCTAAAATATACGGAACTTGAACTGAAAAATTTCATACGTTATATATATATATAATTTTTTTTTTTAACATATACGTGCTATTGGATGCCGTTTCAGTTTTGAAATGAGCTCGGAGAGGGGAGACATCCGACAGCTCTAAGTAAAAACCTACTTTGTAGGATTTTCTTTGAAAATTAATACATTTTTCATAAACTAATCGTGCGTGCTATGAAAAAAGTATGTGGTATAAATTCATAGTTTTTACAACCTAACAAATTATTCATAATTTTCACCGTACGTAGCGAATTATTCCAGCTGGTGAGGCATATTTGTCTATGTGAGAAAAATATATTTGCTTTAGGTAAACGATTTACAAGATATTGCCAATAACTAAATTGTTTATTTTCAACTAAAATATGATTACATAGTTCCTTTGACAGCAATCTCTTTTACTTAAGTGTTGCGATCTATTAAGAATCCAGTACTCACAAAGCCCCCATAAGTTATGTTATTTTTCATAACATAAAAATCAAACCTATTATGACCTCGTCTAATGTACGCTGCCCAATTGTCTGCTTTGAACTCAACATTTTTTAAGTAGTATTCACCCTTTTTAAACGGATATGCCTCTTTGCTTTTGGGAATGTTAGAATCCTTGAAAGAGGACTCGCAGTATTTTTCATAAAAATTGACTAAAAATGCGCTGAAACTAAGCCGTACACCGAAGGGCGTTGGCTTCCACTCTCCGTTCACAAAAGTGTCAATTTTCCAGAAAATATCAAATGTATCATCAAAGTTCACATGATTAACTATTGTGCCGTTCAGTAAGTGTTGGCGTCCTATCAGCCGCAAGTTGAACTCCATCAGTGTTTCTGTATCCCCTTCAATTTTATTAAACGTCTCGATCCGCACATCGTACACAGCTCTCACGAAACCCTAAGGGATATATCCTTTAGTATATATAGTATAACTATAACCAGAGTACCGACCAGACTGGCGATTGCCAGGAACAGAAGGGAATTGAACAATTTAAGCAACATTTCTCACAGTCTCGTTATAAGTTGGCATCGGTTTTTATATATTTTCTGTATTCAACATTTTGCATGTTTGGATACCATTTAGATATAATTTTCATCGTGTTAAATAAATTAAATTAAAAAAAAACATGATCAGTGAGAAAACATGGATCAGGCAGTGCCTATCTGTTTAACTTTTTTACTATCAAATTTAATGTTAATATAAAATAAAAAAAGAGATATTATAGAAAATGTAAACGTTAATATTTTGTTGTAATTTTAGTCAGAATATATATACTTACTATATGTATTCCTGTGTAATTTTTTCCTTTAAATATTCTTCCCAAAAACCCTTGGCAGCAACCTTTTTGATAATTTCAACTCACCCCCGTTGAAGACAACTCCATTAGCTTTATTTGCGTGCAAAAAATTAAAATTCTGCATTAACAAATTGACACCGTGTAATATCCGCTTGAATTTGTAATTAGTTTGCAACGAATGCGAATGCGAATTTGCCAAACCTCAAACTCTAGGATCTCTCCAAAGGATTCGCACATTTATTCACGCGCATATTGAATTACAACGGCAACAATGGGATCAGCAGCAACATCAGCGAAAAAAAATTTGCATAATACCTTTGCCGCTCGGCACCCAAGGATAACACAAAGTGAGCAGCAAAGTCAGCGACTCCAAAGAGTCCTCTCTGCTCATTTGCATGCAAGGGTTCAGCTTCGGATTTCGAGGGCTAATCAAACAGTAAAGGACCTAGGACAGGAAGCACACGCTCTGTTGTGATTTATGGCTGGAAATTAACATAAATGAAATCAAAACATTTTAAATGTTTTCATTTAGGTAGGGGTTAGCCATGAGGCGGCTGCTGCACTCGAATTATATATGCAAATATCGCTTGAAACAGAGTCATTCCTGTGCGAATATCCTTGTGAAGGTCGCACGCGTCTGCGGCACACTTCCCTTGCGACATGACAACTAATGGGCGTTTTGTTTATGGTCGATCTCAAACCCCCATTAGGGTCGAGGTCGAGTACCAGCCACCCCTTCCCGCCACCCTTTGTCATTGCTTCGATTTTTTTATAATTTTAATTATTTATAATCGGTTTAAAAGAAAAAAAGAAGGACTTAAACAATATCCAAATGCCTGAGTGGCCTCTGACAGCAGCTAAGCCCTTTAATCGACCCTTGATTTGATTGCCGATTGAAATTGAATTTGAAATATTATTTTAATAGGCCCTAAGAGCGAGGGAAATTAAGTTTTTCAGAGAGTGAAAAGGGTTTATATAATATATAAAAAAAGTTATATTGCTTTGTTCAAAAAATTTCAAATTGTAAAACTTACTTATTATTAAAATCTAAAATGTAAGGGTCAGCATCTTCGTAGGGATTTGTTACATAATTTTCAGAATTTTCATGTGGATTTTTGCTATAGAGGTTAGTGTTCTTGGTTATTTTTAAATCTTATAAAGTCTTTGAAAGATTTATTAATTAATGTATTTACATTTATTAATTGAAACATAAAAAGGAGCTTTACTGTGCTGGGTGCACTCTTGTAGCTCTTTGCCAAGTGGCAGATCTATTAGAAGTTCTACCAAAGGGATATCCTTTTGTGACGGATCTACTGAAGACTGCGATCTTGGATAGACTCCACCCCGCAGAATTTAATAAATAAATAGATCTCTTATCTTGGCTCACCTAGAAATTATTCAACTCAACCTTCTAAGTCTTTCACAGCGTCATCCAAGCTAACTAAGAGATTGGACTTGTAAGCTAATATATGTGTTTAAGAGGGTTCTCTTTCCATTAACCCCCTCCGATCTGCATCTTCTAAAGAACAATTGACATTTGTTTAATATCGACTTACTAACAAATTGTTGTTTATATTTATACCCTTGCAGGGTATTATAATTTCAGTCAGAAGTTTGCAACGCTGTGAAGGAGACGTTTCCAACCCTATAAAGTATATATATTCTTGATCAGCATCAACAGGGGAATCATTCTAGATATGTCAGGAAGAAATCGATTTTTTTGCCATTTTTGCAAAACTTTATTAGGGGTTACATCATTAAAATTTTTGATTTTGATAAAAAATTGAATTTTCAAAATTTTTAAATGAAGTATGCAGATTTGTTAACTGTAGAAAGTCTTGCACAGAAAAGTTTTCCGATTTAAAATTAATTCTCTTTTGGCCGAGTTATGATATTTTTAATTAAAATAAAAAAAAGTTTTTAAATATAAAAAATCCGATCTTATAATACAAAATAATATTTTTCTAAGTCAAGGAATCATTTTCGACCCCATAAACCATATACATATATTCTTGATCAGCATCAACAGGGGAATCTTTCTAGACATGTCCGGAAGAAATCGATTTTTTGGCCATTTTTGCGAAATTTGATAAGGGGTTACATCATTAAAATTAGCAAAAATGGCCAAAAATTTGGATTTCCTAAAATTTTAAATTTGGTATGCAGTTTTTTTAAATTAATAAAAACTAACACAAAATTGCTTTCCGAATCGAAATTAATGCATTTTTGGCTTAGTTATGATATATTTTAATTGTTACCTGCAAGGGTATACAAACTTTGGCTGGCCAAAGTTAGCTTTCTTTCTTGTTTTCAAAGTAATTGAAAAACCCTTCATCGATTCAGTTTTCTTTTCAAAAAATGTTTATTACTACACAAAAGTTCATAAATAGGTGGGCAATGTGGCTTAACACTCTAGAGGCTTACGTCGCTTATTATTACTTGTATAATTATTGGTCTTACGTGGACTAAAACTTTGGAATAGCTGGGAAACAAGTACGGGGAGTACAAACTAGAAACGTTCAACTCAATATCTCATATCTTATAGGTTACATAATAATAGAGCCAACAAGCAATGGGAACATGTGTGTGGAAATCAACTAAAGACTAGAACAACGCTTGAGTGGTGGCTGTCAAGGAGGAGGAGAAGGAGATTCGCAGATTTGGCAATCTGCTGGAGATCCCTTTAACAGTACACGGGTTCGGTGCTGCTGGCAGTTGGTTGGTGATAGGTCGCGTCCATCTGGATGTTCCACACATTGTCCACTCCCGAGTTGCTGTAGTAGTAATCCGCCGGCGACTGCTGCTGATCCTGCTGCTGGTAACTGCTCGGCGCCAGGAAGTTGGTGGTCTGCTGCTGGTAGGCGGCGACTCCTTCGTCGTAGAGCAGATCCACTGCGGCGGAGGCTGCTCCTCCCACTCCCCCGTTGAGAGTGGATTCGAACACACTGAAGATCTCCGAGCTGGTTGTGTAGAAGCCGCTGTCCTGCTGGCTGGCTGCCTGACTGCCACCACTCACGTCCAGGGAGTGCGGCGGGGCCAGGTAACCGTTGAAGTATCCATAGTCCTCGGAGCTGTAGCCCGAGCTGCTGGTTAGGCTGGAGGTGTCGTCGCAGCTCTCGTACACGGGCATGCCGCACTGGAAGCTGGCGGAGATTGGCTGCTCATAGACGGGACCACTGGCCACCAGATGCTGATGCTGTTGCTCCTGCTGCTGCTGCTGCTGGAGTTGCTGCTGGAGCTGCTGCGGCAGGTTCTCCTGGTAGTAGCTGCCCGAGGAGCTGTGCGAGGAAAGCGGCGAATGGAGCATGTCGTAGCCGTACATTCCATTATCATAAGTTGCTCCCTCCTGATCGTAGTAGAACTCTCCGTTCCACTGACTGGCAGCAGGAGTGGCGGCCATCGATTCCGCAGAGGCATAGCTGCCAGCTCCTGCTGCTGTCTGGCCAAAGCTGGCCACGTGTGTGGGCGTGGATGTGGGCAGGTAGCCATTGGCTACTGTCAAGAGCTCCTGGCTGCTTGGAATGACCTCCTGCCTCTTGCGCTTGCTCTCCTGGATCAGCTGCGACTTGGCCTGTCGTTTGGTGGGCCTCAGGCTGCTCAGCTTGTCGCTGAGAGCGGACTCCCTGGCCAGCATGACGGCCAAACTGCGCACGCGTCGTCCGCCGGCCAGCAAACGCCTGGCCTCCGTGGAGCCCTTGGCCTCGGGTCGGGGATGATCGTGGGTGCCCTTGGCCTGGAAGTAGATACCATTGCCGTCGCGCCTCCAAAAGTGTGTGACTGGATAGCCGCAGTGTCCGCGGCAGGCCTGGATCTCCAAGCGACCATTGCAATTTCTGTAGAGTCAAAAAAATCCAGAGTTAGTTTTTTGGATTATATGAGATTTTTAAGCTAAAACCCACCTATTGGGGCACTGTTTGCCCTGCTGCTTTCGCCTGGCCTTGTCACAGATGGCGGGCCTCAGATGGACACTGGCTCCATTGGGCAGCTGGCACTTGGCGCTGCAGAGGAGCACGCCCAGGCAGCTCTTCTTGAGGATGTTCACGTTGTGGTTGTTGGTGTTGCGCATGGCCCAGCCGCTGGCATGCTTGCGGGCCTCGTCGCTTTGGGAAGAGTAGACCAGACGGCAGTGGCCATTGGCCCAGTCACTGAAGTCATCGAACTGACCCACCGACGGCATCTTCGAGTCATTGATGTCCCAGTCCAGGGAGACACGCGACTTGGTGGCCGGAGGACTGGGCACGGGCACTGGAACTGGAACTGGCACTGGCACTGGCATGGACATGGTTAAGCCGTTCAAGACCATTTTGTGTTTGTTTAATGTTTGTCTTAAATGTTGATTCACTCGCGAGGGTTTTCTCTTTCCCTTTCTCTAAGTCTTTTTTCTCTGTTTATTTTCTTGTATTTAATTTCCTATTAGTTTTCCTCTAGCTCGGTTCGATTTTCCTCTAGAGCGACACGTCCGTTCGCATCGACTGCGCAAGGCTGACTAACTGGGCCCGGTCTGCGCAGCGCAGTTAAGTTGCCGGCGAGAGAAGCGGCAGAGCGAGGCGACGAGGAGGGTTGCTTTCAAACGGCCTGCCATTGGCCCGCTGTTATCCGTTTTATCCGCACACGAAACCGGAAACTGGAAAGAGGCCTCGCCGGTTTGATTGGTAGCAGCAGCCAGCAGCTGGAAATGGAGCTGGAGCTGGGGCTGGAGAGCCGCCGCTGCTGCTGTTCCTGCCCTGCTCTAGCACCTGCGGTTGCAGCACGCGCTCCACTGGATAATTGTACGATACAAGAGGAGCCCCAATACCAACCCCCAGTAAAAGCTAATTAAGTTTGGAAAAAAGTTTACATTGCCGAAGAACGGTTATGGGGGAATGGGAACGGGAATGGTAATGGCACTGGTAATGGTGATGGTAATGGTAATGGGGATCTGGGCATGAGGCCCGCGATGGGTACACCTGGCCTGGCAGATGTCAGAGGCCTATTTGCTCTCTGTCCCAGGAGCTGGAGATGGAGTTGGAGCGTGCAATGGGGTTTGGGAAGGGGAAGAGCACACAGAAAACGAGCACATGGATGGCTGGAGGGCAAACAAGAGCTCGAAAAACAAAATGGAGCTGAGAGGGGATATCTATGTATATATTTTTATTCAATCAAAGGCAGGATCAGCAAACAATATAAAATAATTAAAGAACATATAAGCCGCTCTTTAAGATGCTTTACATTAGCTGAAAAATATAATTTTTACTGAAAGAGAAGCCTATATAATAGAGCCATCATATTTCATAGCTAAATAAATAAATAATGATACATTATTAATATAGAAAAATAATTAAAGAATCTAAATAATAAATAATTAAATAATTGAATGATAAAAGACAGTTTAAATAATGATAATATAAATGAAATTATTTTTTTTAGCTTACAAAGCATACATTTTTACTTTTATAAGGATAAAAGACAGCCTGGCAAACAATTTAAATTCTCCTAAATAAATTGTAAGAATTTGTATAATACCTACAAGAATATATATATATGCTACCAAGGACACACAACTTCTCACGATCTCAGTTGGGCGATAAAAAATTAAACGTTTGCCAAAAAAATATAGAAACCAAAATGCCGAGAGTCTGGGCTATCTCGGCATAGAGATCAAAGATCGTAAAACACAATTTAGCACGCAAAAAAAAAAAAAAAAACTATATTAAAGAAATCCCGTTAAGGAAAACCAACCCCTCTCTTTCCCTCTGGAAACCCAAACCATAACTCAGGCATATGAATGAGAAGTTGGCAACACACAACTTAGACCGATCTCGAGTCGGAGATAAACCAAACAAACACAATCATTAAGAGGCTGCCGAAAGGGGTGGAGGACTCTGAGGAAACTCCATAATTTTCACACTTCCTCCGAAAGCCGAAAGCCATGCAATTATGACACGAACTGTGAGCGAGCAACCCGCGGCGCCTTTCTGCCAAGGAGTCGGCCGAGGAGCCCAGGCGAGGATCGTAGCACGCGATAGCAGCTCAAAGGATTACAATGGGAAAGGGTGCGCCGTCTCTAAGGATTCGAGGGGCGTTGACACGGATGAAAGTCATGACGTTGCATATTATGAGGCATCCTCGCCTACCTGGCCTGGGATTCTGACTCCGATTTCGATTCCGATTCCGGCTTCCGATTTCTGAGACTTCCAGGTGGGTGTGTCCCTTTAATGAGGCCCGAAATGAACTGTTCCATTTCAATTACGCGAGATCACTTTCCAATCAAATTTATTTGACACTCTCCCAGCGGGCGCCTCCAGAACTCTTTTCCTCCCTCTCCCGTCTGGGTCTAAATTTCTGGCTATAAAATTTAACCAGAAATTACGCATAAATGTCATCGTAAATTCGACAGTCATCTGTGGCGTCGTGGGAAGTTACGCCCCTGGCAGATAGATATACAGAGATATAGCAGCCTCTGGGTCGAAGGGATTTGGCCAGGGATTAGGCGATTGTCATACATATGGTCAGGGAGATGGGCAATGTGTGAGTGTTAAAGGGATTTGCTGGATTAAAGAACTTAAAAACGTTTTATATAAAGAATTTTGAGTTTAAATATATTTTAATAAATAATACAAAATAAGAAAATTAAAATAAATCTATTTCTAAGTTTCTGAGTAACTTATTTTTGAGGCTTATAAGAAAACTTAAAATCTACAAAGAAATTCTACGAAAGTCATTCTGATTTTCAAATAATTAAGTATTTCATTTTCTAAAACCTTTTATTAGTAAAATATTCAACCCCCAAACTCACATTTTTACTGAAACAGATTTCCCAATTTCTTATACACAATTATTCAGCTTAATAAACCTCATTGAATACTTACCCTTATTCCCCGAACATTAAGTTTCTCTCTAGGAATTTGTTGCTTTACATAATATAATAATATGTGGCTTTGGGGGAAACTTTCCAAAGACTGGTAGTCATTGATCTGTCAGATCATTATGCCTCTGCATTACACAGTTCATCCCCTCATGACCGCCGGAAATATAGAAAGTTTTCCGCTTTCCCTCGGAAGCTTATCAACCATCGCACATCTCCATACGAACAATTCGCAGCTAATTAAGTGGAACTGCCCTTGGGTAAAGTTTTGGGATATAGGAAAAGTCAACTCTGTTGCAATTAAAACCACATACATATACATATATAGTGGAAAATCATTCAATTGGCAACTAACGACGACGGCCAGATCGCAGCGAACCGATAAGACTCGATGGGACTCGTCCCGTAAATGGTAAATGATTTAAAGCAAGTCTCATAATTTCTCATTGTTCAACTGGCATTTCCACAAACTGATAAATGAAACCGAAAACATAAACGACAACACAGGGATCTACTACAGGAGAGATCTAGTCGGGGCGATAATAGAGTCGAATACCTTTCACACTCGGCATGGGGCCGATCCCCGATCGCCGGTCGCTGGTCCTCGATGGAATAAAATGGGAATTGAAAATTGGGAAAATTGAAATGTAAAGGCAGCTCGGGTGAAAATGCTTGGACAAGTGATCTGCTGCTAAGTAGCTTGGCTCTCTAATCTGTCCAAACACTCTCTCGGGTCAAATGAGTTGAGCCGAGGTCGAGGTCAGGTGTGTGTGTGGTGTGTTCCCTTAATGGGCTTACATGGATGGAATATTTATTTTCACACTGACCTATTGTCTGTGGGAAGGATTACCAGCGAACCCTATATATTTTCATATTTTCCCACGTTTAATATATTTTGTAAACCCGAATTTATGTAAAATTCCTTCTCATGCATATTATTTGCATTTGCTTTGTGTTTTTTTGTGAAAACTATTGGCATTGGATTACATCATATTTACGGGCAAATTCTCCCACAATCCTCCGAGAGATACCCGCATTCCTTGTCCCAAATTTTTGAAACTCCTCAAACCCCAGGATTGTTTCAATTGTTTTCGAAGCGCGTGGCATTTAGCGGTGTTCTTACTTTAAAATGTATTTCCCAGAATCCCAGACAAATATTCTTTAAATTTTGTAATCAATAAAGTGCACATAAATTTTAGAAAAGAAAAGCGATCTCCTAGCGAATTTCAAACCGTAAAAAACATGGAAGATTTTTCACACTTGCCGGCGGCGACAAAGCGATTCGCGCTACGCAATAAAATCTAATTAGTAAACTCTCGCTCCCTCTCGGAGGAATTAAAAACAAAACACCCAGAGCCGAAACTGTAAAATTTCAGGTACTTGGGTTAAAAAAGAACACGACAATTCGACATGGCGACGACACTTCAGGCCAAACAAAGATGCCCAGACAAAGGACACACGCACACGGGGACAAGGGAAAAGGACACCCCTCTTTGTGGACTTTAAAAAATATAAAAACCACCCGATCCCGATGCCGAAGATCTAACGCTGTTTACTCAAGCGAAAATCGAAAAGCAGTTGAATTGTTAAAAATTTTGCAATTTTAAAAAATCAAATGGCACATTAAGTGGCGAGCTCCTCTTGCGCAGGACTCACAGGACTCGCTAGCTGGTCGTGCGCCGCGTGTCGAATTCTGTCAATATTTCCGGTGTGTCTAATGACAAACGCATGTTTACATGAGTGCGAACACATCCGGTTGGAGTAAGTCGCTCCTTTTTTTTCGGCTTTGATTGCGGAGGCCGGGCATCCGCGAATATTTCACGGACATCAAGGACCTGGGATTCGCACAGGCAGCGACGGCAATTAAATGGATTTACTCAAGCGTTCGCCTTTATTCGATGCGGCAATTTATAAATGATGGGCGCGATCTGTCGATGGGGTTGGATGGAAGGATGATAAACGATCCTGTGGTGCCGTAAATGTTTAAAGTCTTTAAATGAATTTACGGAAGTGATTTTATATTTTGCCAATCGAAAAGTCAAAGTGCTGCTGGGGCTTTTAATTTTTAAAAATGCAAAGACTGGGGATCCAGTTTTATAATAATTTAAATGGCTTAATATTCCATTGAAAGAAAGGTCTTATCTTTGTTAAAGAATTACTCAAGCTGCTAAGACTGAATATCCCTGCTCTAAAACACAAATATTTCTTCAACACACTCCGTAAAGAAGCCAACGACCTAAGCTATTGTCACTCCATTTATCCACAACTGCACTCATTGCCCAAATAGTTTATTCAACTGCATTTGAATGTCAATTAGCTTAAATTGCTAGTTTTGACTTACAACGAACGATGGCCGTTAACACGCCATGGCAATTGAGGGGCAGCCAGGAGATCCATATCCATAACATTGGAATCATCAACACATCCACATCGGCGTTAGAGGCGAGTGCATTCACCTCGGGATCACCAAAAAGATCTGCCTATTGCCCGAGAGTATCTGAAAGATACACATCCGCTGCTGCTGCTGCTGCTACTCCGTCGCACTCAATTTAATTTAATCAAATTTTCGACTGCCGAGGGTTCGCAGCTCTATAACTATTTTTCGGGGTGCCCCTTGTAATTATTAATAATAT